CAAATGTCGACAATTGTTTTGTTTTTGCAACATACACCTTAGCAGACCTCATAATATGATTGGCATTCTCATAATGTTACACCTCATACAGCAGCTGCACATTAATCATTACTTAACAATATTGTTGTAAAATAATAGTTAAATCCCATTATATTTTTAATTATTTAGTGAACGCTGTGTTATAAGTAAGATGTTATTATTAGAAACAATAGCTCGCCTAGTTCTTAGTTGTTTTTTTATGGACTCATGTCATGAGCCGATCATCATCATCATTATAATTAAGGTACAAAATACAATATCATAATTTGCAAAATATAACAATAGACGGGCTAATACAATGCGAACCCACTGTGTGAAAATGTGGATATTTGTTGGAGTAATCTTGTACAACTAAGTTGAAAAACACGAACGCTAATATTATTTGATATACGAGTAATTATTATTACTATCGTAAGCAAATTGTATCATAGTGTAAATCCTACACTAGAGACTCTATAGTGAGAAGGCAGTGGCTAACGGGTTAAGTGCCCTGATCACACATGAAAAAAGACAAAATATAAATAACCTTATGATAAACTATAATATATAGCATAAAAAATAGTTATATTTTTAAAACATTATTAAAATACTTAAAACTGTGTTTAATGTTTATATGGTCAAATAATAAATTATAAGCCCAGATTATAAGGAGTCCAAGGTCCTTCGGTCACAAACTAGTGGGGAGTGTTTGGCCCTCCCAATGTTTTCACTTTTTATTCCTTTAAGAAATAATACAAAAGTATGTTTAAAAGTTCATGTTTTATATAGAATAAAGTGGCATTAAGTATGGGAATAATACTAAACTACTGAAAACGTGTCGATATTCAATCGAAACAAACGGATTTATAAATGGAAATAATGTTATTATTTTTGACAGTATGGGATTTACATTTACTTGTCAACAATATAAAACGTCTGAAATAATAATTCTAAAAATGTTTTGGACGATAGGTATACTATTCTCATACAGAACCAAAGCAAACATGTGGTTTTTATGATGCTTTTTTCTACTACGAATCGAAGATACAGCTAAAAACATTTTAATGTTGAAATTAAAATAGATTTAGCAATTTAATTAGTATATTAAAAATTAATTAATACAAAATATAAAGTTTTCAAGTCCTAACACAGAAAATATTTCAAATTTAAATTTAATTTGTATATTTGTATCTACTGATAATTTAAGGATTTTATATCTTCTTATTAAATCATATACTTTAGTAAATAACCATTTTTTATCATATAAATGCCTGAAAAACATTTTTAATATTTTACCGACCAACATGACAGTCGGTAATCTAGTTATTGTATATAGGGTGTCTGAAGATGCTTTAAACAATTCACAGTACAATCAGTGTTCGTCTCGTACCCTGTACGACTGTGCTTGAAATAGACCAAACTAACTCTGCCTCTCTTGCATATTATTATACACTGTAATTGATTTGTTCTGATACCTTTACAGACTATCCGTCGCCGAAATATGCAGTCTATTTTTAATTGGACGTGACCTTACAGAGAAGAAAAAAATTACCGAAAGATGTACATACCTTTTTTTTTTTACTGGCTTAAATCGATAGCGGATAGGGTATGAATAATAAACTTAGCGGAAATTTGAAAAAATCTCACTCATATGTATAACCCAAATGCGTTCTTGAATCATTTTTCAATTTAAAATATTAGGCTACTTCAATAATTACACCATCAGTTTCTACGATTCGTAAAAATTTGGTTTAACTAATATTTAAAAATATTTTATAAACTTCCATTGCGTTATGTTCAATGGCAGTATACTAATATACATATTTGACGAACTTGACATCAAAATAAAAAAATGTTATTAAATACTTTTATATTTTTTTTCCTAATGTCTCCGTTTTTAATGACGTGCATGCGGCAGACGGTTAACCTAAATGACTCACAAGTCACACGAGTATATTTTGTTTTGATTGTATTGAGTACTATGTGAAAATACAATCTAAAATAACATTAGATAATCTAAAGAGTATATTGTTTTCAATATAAATATGCCGTGTATAAGCTTACACAAAATGTATAAAAGTTAAGATAGGTATGTACTTGTAAAACGAAAAACCGTGGCATGTATGTCTTAATGTAACATGTATATAAGCATAGTATATACTAAGTAGGTACCTGAGGGTAGGTACATCTGCTGATCTGATCTACTTGATTTAATTACGTTTTGTTTACAAAGAACATGTGCTATTGACTGTACTAGTCTGCTTGTTGTATAAATCATACAACAAAATACTGCTGTTTATTCGTTTTTAATAAACACAACGAAAAGTACCAATTCGAGTTGTTTAAGATCTTTATTTTCACATGTACCTCGTGCTTACTCGGTAAGTAACTATATTATTGAAATAGGAGGTTGTGTTTAACTTATTAGATAAATAAGGTAAATTTTAGGACTGAATATATTTTAGAGTATTACATTTTTATCTAGGACTCAATTTACCAAATCCGATAGTAAAAGATATTAGTATAAAATAAATTTCACCAGTGTTATTATAATTTATTAGGCTAATGTAATATTTAATTCTGAAAATAAATTATTTTTTAAAAATATTCAGTGTCCGAGTATACTATATTTTGGTCCTGTGTAGTCTTTCAAAGTAGTAAAAAGAAAGAGATGGGGGGAAAATACAAGTACAACTGAGTCATATCGACAAATGGAATCGTTTACTCTCTGTCCATTATAATATCGTTTATTTCCCTTGTTCGTATAGGTCATTAACCGCTGAAAGCTTTTATCGTGATTGATATGCTAGATAAACCGGCTGAGTAGAGCCAGTCAAATTGTCCATAGCCAATATACTAACAAATTGACGTTTCAAACAAAGATGACTGTGAACCGTATAGAATGTATGCAGGTATACTCTATACATGTACTGGATTGTTTGTCTAAAATTTATTGGCTGTTGTCAAAGTATTTATCACCCGATGTGAGAATCTGGCATGCAAATGTGTAACTATTTCTTAACCGATGCGTTATTGACGAGCGAACTGTCTTAGTCTTATAGATAGACATACATACATAATGTCAGGTCTGTCCGATGGTAGTTCAAGTATGAAATGCGAAAGTAAAACATTCTTGGAATAATCGTGCAACCAAGCAGCAGCTACTCGATAAAACAACAGAAGACACTAGTGTGGTTTACTGAATAGTGAATACCCACGATTAACGACAAATAACCGCGTCCGTTGTACTAAGTATACTTGGATTTTAATTGGTTATTGAGTATTATAGTTATAGTTATTATTATACTATGTACTAGGTACTGTTTTAAATATTATTAAGAAAAACAATTACCTTTTAAAATCAAACATCTATTCATGTATTGTCTCGCGTGTAAGGTTTTTCATGTTTATACAAAGAAAAAAAATGTACAATATTATCATAATATAAGACAAAAATCAGCCAACATGATATTGATGGTTACATATTGTTTTGATGTCAACTTTAATACTATAAATTATAATTCATTCACCTGTGCGTAGGATCAAGAGTGGTCTGTGGTGGTATGCTTTAATTAATTCTGAACGCGATTCGATAAATTCACACTAGTCGATGGAATATGCTCAGAAATTTAAAATTCTTACCACCGAACATTCTAAAACGTATGTATGAGAAACGCAATTTGCTTATTTCACACACGTTTGGTAAAAGCCAATATTGGATTTTAAATTTTGGGACATTTTCAGCTACGAAAACGAGTTGTAAAGGTATTTTAATATGATTTCGTACAACGATTATTTTCAATCGTCGGTGTTAATTGACTTTCACTACAAGACAACCGGGTATATTTATTTTCTAGGGTATACCCCATCCAGGACATCTACAGCAATGATGATTTATAATTTAATAATTATATTTATATTAACGAATAAAAAAAAATAGCTGCAGCAGGAATGTCTACTATTCCTACCCTTAATAATACAATTATAAAAAGTGACTAAAGTATTCTAATTAGGTAAAAACATTAGGTTCAGTAATTGAGAAAAAAAATTAACACACGTCACACAAAATTCTAGTATTTTAGATCCCCTTAACTAAATTCTAGAGTTGGTCTTGCCTACCCGAGCTCATAAGGATAATTTTTGCAAAAAAAAAGTAATTAACGTTTTGTTTGTTGAGATTTAACTCTAGGAAACCGACGGTCCTACGTGTCACACACAGGCCTTCCTCTCTTTTGGGCGCTTTATGAAGACTGTGCGTAATAAGTAATAACGACTTCAATTGCCGGACTGTACAATTCAATTGCTCAACGTTGCCGGCGAGTTCCTTTTGCCGCCCAAGTCGGTCGGCAGTCGGCACACTCGCAACCGACCCCGCGTATAATGTCTATCTGTATATCGATCTCGGTGTTTTCTTGAGGCTTTTTTTTGGGGGGGGGGGTTTGCTTACTTTTACTACTGTCTACTATACTTGCACCGCACAATCAATCTCTTTATACAGCCGTGTACGCGTTTACCGGCAAAAGCGAAAAGGCGGGCACACACGTGTTGACGGCAGATGAAGCGATGAAAAAAAAAAAACAAACCCAAGATGAAGACGGCGGTCGCGTGGCGACGGTGCGGCGGACGTTGACGTGGCCGTCTCGGTCCTCCCTGGCCCTCCACCGCTGCCGGCGTCCACACAGACGGCCGGAGGGAGTGGCGGGCGGCCGATATTAGCGCTCGTGCGGCGGCGGCGGCGGCTAGCAGACACCGGCGTCGTGCATACGGTGTCCGCGGCGGCGGCGGCGGCTTGCCATTGAGTGTGTGCACGCGGTCGATCGATATTGTCAGCCGCCGACCGGCGCGCTCCACTATCACTATCAGCCCACGGCTGTTATCACTCGGGTAAGTAGAAAAATACATATATTATTATAATATCACTGCCTACAGCTATACCTATATTTTTGTTTTACCGTTTCCGGTTTTTTCATTCGTTATTATAATATTGCGTTTAAAAAACCGTAAAATGCGATATCGTGTATTGTTTTTGTTTTTTATTAAATCCGCATTACACGGTTATATGACTTTGTTTACGCGTCTCAAATAAGCCGGTTGTGTTATCACAGAAGAAACTATACAGTAGGACGAGATAAGGAAAACGGATTGTAGTAATCCGATACAACTGGGTGAGGGATTTTTATTACGATTTACGTGAACATTTATATTACGTTAAAATAATGCAAAAATTAGTTATTACTATGTAAAACCATACGGTCTGAATTTAAGCAGAGGCAAAGTGGAAACTATAAGTTCAGGTCAAGAAATTTTACTTTATTCAGGCCAGGTCTATAAAAAAAAAAAAAATAGGATATATTTCTAAATTTTGGCAATATTTTATTAAATAATTATTAATTTTTTTGCGGCTTGATTTACCATAAAACTAAAAAAAACATTAATCATCAAAACAAAATTATAGGTAAATAAACTAACGTATAAGGATAAAATGAAATAAAAGTAATATTTTAGGCTTAAAATATCCTTTGTAGTTTGCCGATATTAATATTATAGATTTTTTTGTATACAAATGTCTTGATTTATAAACAATAACGATGTAGGTACATATTATTGTACAATAAAAGGATATCATCCAAACACACAAACGTTGCTCAAACTATTGCTCAACTTGGGCTCTTAGAACTCGAATTCATAATTTCTTTTGTCTTTCTGTACAGTTTTACACGTGAATGAAGCATCACATTGAAATTATATTGTAGTGACATAAACTTGTTTTAGTAATAATTAATGTCTATAACAACTTGAGGTTTACAAGGCAAACGTTTTCAATTTATACATTTTAAACTCAAACAAATAGTTGTGAAGATAATGAAAAAAAGCTCTAGGTCGTATTTCAATAATTCAATTTTTATATTTTACATTGTGAGTTAATCTACAAATAATGGCTCTTTATTTTACTTAATATTTTAGACTATTTTCAGCGTCCACGTCCTATCTACCAAATCCAAAGCCAACAGAAAAAACATTTCGTCAGTTAATTTTATCTTTTGCTTCCTCAAAAAGGAAATTTTTTTGGAAAATTTGTTTTTCAAATCTCAGGGATTCATATTAGATACGCTTGTTTAATTGATGTAGGTATGTTTTCACACACGTGGTGCTATGAATAGCTTAGAGTAACGGTGTTAAAAAATTGTCAATTTGCCACTTCAACAATAATTTAAGATTGCCTATTTAGCGGTTTTACGTGTATCTGTGAGCTATTGTTTCAATTCGCCAGAAAAATTCAGCCAAAACAAATAAATTCCTACCTTTATACTAATTACATACTGATGATTCATAATACTTACACGAGCCACGTTAGTGAGTTCAATTTCTATTTTATCTCGCTGTATTCCGAATTCTTAGAACATGCTAGAGTACTTATTGATATAGAATATAGTTTTAAGATGTTTGCTTTTTTCTGGTCAGGTGGCACTGCTGAGAGCCTTCCTATTCACACATTATGTCATTGTATCGTTGTCATGAGACTTGCTGATTATACATATTTTGTATAGTTTGTAAATAAAGAAAATAGATTTTTAATAAAAAAAACAAAGATGTTAGTTGTTTTGGGAGTCCCTCGAGGTAAGTAGCGTACGATCAATTTACATTAGTTCTACTTCTACTATTATCTGTTGGAAACGGAAACCCACAAAATATGATAACGAAATAAAAAATTGTGTCTGCTGCGTTCAGTATTTTTACCAAACTAATCGATTTTACTACCTACACTCGTTTACTAAGTAAAAAAATGTCAACTAAATGTATTCGATTTGTCGCGTAGAACTGTATAGGTATTATAAATTACCTTTACTTGGGATAGTCGAGCGGCCCAAGCTAGCAAATACGGTAAAATACAATCTTGTTAGGACTTAATGTATTATATTATGATGTAATTGTGTTTTATCCGAAACGATAACGACATTTTTATAGCTCGAAGGCGTCTGACGGTCATTGCTTGCAGTTGTAATAAATTCGTTGTTTTTTTTTGCCATTAACCACCATTTGCCTTCCTGAATACTCTACAAGAATTATTATTAACATTAACTACTTGCATAGTATCTTGACAACGCTAAATTATGTTCTCAACATTCACCGTCGTCAGTGTTATTAAATTCAAGCAAAATAGTGTTTGATTTAATTATATTTATTACAAACTTGTCAGTTTAAAAACCAACAGTTTTCGGTAGACAATGAAGTGTGAAGATATTATTAACATCTGTGTTATTTTTACTGCCATCATCGGTCTGCAAAATATATTTATTATAATATCATGCTCTGGTATAGTATATGTATCTTGCCACGTGTTTCGTCCACTAAACAGACAGCGTTAAAATGTCTTAACAACCACAACAGTCGGACACAGTTGCCTATCCCACGTCTAACCTAACATGTAACCACACAGCAGTAGGTAATGTATTATATTTTTAAAATTTTTTAATTGCATTTTGCAAAGTTGAAAAATAACAGATAGCTGGAAGGAGAGAAATGTTTGTAGGAACTAAGCTTAAAACTACTGCGTTTTAAAAACAAATAACTCATTGTTTTCAAATAATTGTTTGTTATTCAAATAAAAAATGTCCTAGTTCGGAGTATAGCCCCCAGAATTTATTTTTTTATTTCCTCCGCTCTAAATTCAAAAAACCAAAATTAGAAAAAAGTATTTAGATATCCTATTTTATAAAAATTAGTTTTAATTAAATTAAATGATGAGCCGAGTGCTACAACCATACAATTTTACAATTCTTTCAAGTGATAAAAAATAATGTTTTATCCTATTTACTACTAGACTAAATAGTAGGAAAACCCCTATTTTGTGATATCATATTATCTAATAATAATATAACTAAAAAAAAAATGGATTATCTGTTTTTTTTAACTCAGTCTCTCCATTATGTTTACATACCTATTTTATTTTTATAATTCCATTTATTAAGCGACGAATTTAATGTAAACCGTTTTAAGAAAATTTAAAATGTTAAGGGAATAAGTATTACATTGAAAATTGAGTTGTTTTATACTTTTGTGAGGTATTATGAAAACGATTTCGAAAAATCCACTTTCTTTCTACGCCCTTTAGTATATATACATATACAGAAGACTAATTATCAGTACAAATTACATATTTTAGAAAAAATATCTACGCGCAAGAATATAATTTCATATGTAGACTGGACGAAGTCGTTGACTTCTTTAGAGATATTACGGCCGTTAACCCATGTCTTTGCTTTGCTATGACAAAATATCATTTTTTAATGTAATCCCTATAATATTATAACATTACTCGACCTTGTCCCGGTCAAACTACTTTTTTTTTTGTTGTGGCCGCCGTTGAGACTCACTTGTCTGCCGGCAGTATATTATATTGTAATACAAAAATTATTATCCATAAAAAAAAGACTGCGCGCGTTGGACTGGAAGGAAATATAATTTAGTAAAAAATTAAAATCAAGTATACCTATAATAATTACATATTATGCTATTATAAATTATTTGTAATAGTCACAGTAGGGAAACGAGACTCCTTATCATGGTCGGTTTCCTACGTGGCGCAGCATCTGTATCCGGGTTTAGTTACTCAATCGTCGCGCGACATCCTACATTGATTTATAGTTGAAACGTTAAATACATAAAACAAGACTCGTGTATTTTTATAAAAAAATATCTGACTGGCATAACGTTATCCCGAGGACGCACCTAAGAGATGTAGGTGTATATCAATATGGACAGCTGACATGAAAAGTATAATAATATTAATCATGTAACCTGATCGACCATTACCAAGTAAAGATGCCCGAGGTTGCACATACCTTACACCGAGGAAAAGCTTATAAAAGCTAACGAAACGGTTTCTTTTGGTTCAGTCAAACGGTGTCGTTTCAGATTATATTTTCGCATACAATTTTATCGGTGATCGCTTCAGGAAAATATAAATTTCAAGAATTGGTTAATTGTTTTTTTTTCTCCAAATGTAAGTTCCATCAATTATTTTTTTAAATACCAATCTTATTTATTGATAGTGTCTGTAATTTTTCTATTTGGCTCTAGAATGCTATTAAAGTCTACAAAAGACTAAATTTAGTAATTATTCTGTTATGTATTGTGAAAATACATCTTCCAAATGGTTAAATATGTAAAAAAAAATTGTGTTATTAATACTTGATACTCTGACAAAATATGATGTGTTCATATAGATTAGCAATTATTATAATTCTTAAATGAAATATTTAAAAAAAAATGTATTAACGCACTGTGTATGCCAACCTTTATAATACTTTCAAATGGTTAAGAGAAAAAATTGAGCAATAACATTTTATAACAACATGAGCTTTCGTTAAAATAATACACTTCATATTCAGTTTATAAAAAGTATTATTAACATTGTCACATAGCTTAAAATATTTCGATACTACTTAAACACCGATATAGTACTTATATATTCAAAACATTTAATCCCTAGATAATAACGATTTAAACAAATGTTGAATTGTTTTGTGTTTAGTAAAGATGTCTTGCGATTTAATTATTTACTGGAATTTATTTAGTCGTTGTATCTAAACTATACCTAAACTAATTGCAAAATACTTTTCGACAAATATAAAATTTAACTAATTGAGTTCAAATACAATTTTAATTATTTAACGAATGCGTTATAATTCTTCTTAGATGTAATAATTAAAACCTATGCGTTCTATATTATGTCATAACTTGTAATATTTTATGTTATTTTATGATATTCTAAGAATATTTGTGTTTAATATATTTGACTACACCGCACGGCAAAATTTATATTTTTTAAATATAGCTGTTTGAATGCTTAACAATTTTGTTTTTTTAGCCAAAACATATTTCTAAAACCTTTTAAAATTAAAATTTTTCTATGCAAGTAGTTGATTTTGCGACCGTATTGTGTGTAATGTATACAATTTTTTTTTAGCTCTGAGGTAAGACAGACACTGTCTGTGGTACAATGGCTGTAACGAAAATATGCTGCATCGGCGCCGGTTATGTAGGCGGTCCGACGTGCAGTGTGATTGCCTTGCAGTGTCCACACATAAAGGTCACCGTGGTAGACATAAGTGCCCATCGCATAGCTCAGTGGAACTCTAAGAAATTACCCATTTACGAGGTAATGGAAAATCTGAAATTATAGGTTTCGAATTTGAAATTACCTCCCTTTTTTTTTGTAATGCTGCTATGATCTTTTTCTCACAGCCCGGCCTCGATGAAATCGTACAAAAGCAGAGGAACGTCAACTTGTTTTTTTCCACCGACATCGAAACGGCCATCCAAGAAGCAGATCTAATTTTCATATCCGTGAACACACCCACGAAAACGTTTGGTGTAGGCAAAGTAAGTATAAACCAAACTGTGCACAGTAAATGGTATTAGATTAAGGAAAATATATAATGACATTAACCAGGTTTAACTTAAAGCGAGCATATTTAATTGTTTCTTCTTTATAAATGCCTTATAAAGATTCCTAACTCCCAGCCTTAAGTCAAAGAAAAATAATAATGAAATGTTTCTATTCTTCCCGGGTTAAAGCAGAGGGTAAATCGCTATTAGACATTTTGTACACCAGATTACCAGAATTATTCAAAGATTATCAGAGATTTATAAAAAAATGTGTACACTAACTACCAGTTGTAGTTCTCCCTCTCGGTTAAACAGTTTTTGGTTATTGACTATGTGTACAGTGCTACAGTTAAAAAGAATATCAAAATAAATTTGGAACTAAATGGACTGTAGCGTTTAAGTTTCGATCGTGTAAAATACCTTCGATGAGCAATTTCTAATCTAAACCAGCTAGACTTGACCATATTTGAAGAAATCAGACCAGTGGTTAAAAGTAGCTAACTTGCTGCCCATAGCCTGTTTATCTCTGGCTCTTAGAGTTAGAGTATGATGTTTGTTACGGTGTTTGTCGGTTTCAGGGACGAGCGGCTGACTTGACATATGTGGAGAACTGCGCCCGTACCATTGCCCGAGTATCGACTAACAATAAAATCGTCGTGGAAAAGAGCACGGTACCGGTGCGAGCGGCCGAAAGCATCTTGAAGATCCTGAGCGCCAACCACAAGCCTCAAGTTAAGTTCCAGGTAAGTCAAACGACGAGCCCATCTTAAGATGACGCTATTCGCCCATTTAAAATGAAATAAAGTATAGGCCATCAATCGCAAAATCTTAATTTATAACTTACACTACACCTAGTGTATACTTATTAATACAGTAATGAGGATTCTTTATTGGTTATTATTATTTTGTCAGACTGTCACAGTCATTTCTATAAAACTAATTTCCATCAAAAAATAGTTTTGCACGAATCAAAACCAAATCATCAAGTTTTTACATTTAATAAATGCGATTTTTATCTATACTTTTTAAATGTACAATAATTCAATCTGCTAATTTTTTATAATTTATTAAAAAACCAAAGCTTTAATACTTTATAAAAAACAAATTATTTGATTTATCAACAAAATGCCACGCTAAAGCATAGACATAATAATATTTTAGATTAAATGAATACATTATTACATAGCTAATATGGGTACTGGGTAACGTTCTCTTAACCGTTTTTTTTTGTAAAATACTGAATTTGACTTAAAGGTCCTGTCCAATCCCGAGTTCCTGTCCGAAGGCACTGCCGTGGAAAATTTGCTGAACGCCGACCGGGTGCTCATCGGGCACGAGGAGACCACCGACGGTCTGCAAGCCTTCAAGGAGCTCAGTAAAGTGTACCTGAACTGGTTGCCCGAAGGAAGGATACTGAGGACCAACACGTGGTCGTCGGAACTGACCAAACTGGTAAGTGCTTATGCCTTTCAAACCTACACTACTGGTCTATCTATTCAACGATGGGAGGGCTTACTCGAATGAGCTTCGGCCACTGTGGCATATGTGCCGGTCGATTTTCGCTTAACTTGCACAAGTCAAAGGAACGCCATTGTTTCGGGTACCGTGGCAAGTATAATATGCCAGCAATGGACTGTGATACTAAACTTATGAATTCAGAGGTGGGCATTACAATGTCGATATCCATTGATTATTTGGATAAGCGAAGAATCTAAAAGAACTAATGCTTACTGATACTTGATCTGGAACCGGCCGTACTGTTCCGTAACTATGTTATAGTACTTAACTAGGGTCTATACATTTTGTTTTTTTCGGTCCAGGCGGCAAACGCATTCCTGGCGCAACGGATTTCCAGCATCAATTCCATGTCGGTTATTTGCGAAGCGACCGGAGCCGACGTGGGCGAGGTGGCCAAAGGCATCGGCCTGGACTCGAGGATAGGTCGCAAGTTCTTGCAGTCGTCCGTCGGTAGGTGTTGCTCGAGAAAATTCGTGTGTTTATTGTTTTTTAAATGGTTTTTTTTTTTGGGGGGATTTGTGCAGGATTCGGTGGCAGTTGTTTCCAGAAAGACTTGCTCAACTTGGTGTACATTTGCGACAGCTTGAAACTACCACAGGTGGCCGCGTACTGGCAACAGGTTGGTAACATGACTGCTTATGACGACCGGTTTGGCCTGACACAGGATTTTTATCGTAGGTACTCACCATGAACGACTACCAGAAGTCTCGATTCGCCCAAAAGATCGTCGAGTCGCTGTTCGACACGGTCACCAACAAGAGGATCACCCTGTTCGGGTTCGCTTTCAAAAAGAACACCGGCGACACCCGCGAGTCACCGGCCATATACGTGGCCAAGACGTTGCTGGACGAAGGAGCCAAGCTGAACATCTACGATCCCAAGGTAAAGGTGGTGGTTGCCAGCAGTCAATGGTCTTCATCTGCAAACAAACGCTCCCATAAAAGGCAATACTGGTTTTTAAAAAGACACCCCCCCCCCCCCGCTTCGGAAAAACAATAGTACAATTATTATAACTATTATTCACATACAATAGTTCGTTGCCGGCCGCCGTCACTGCAGTGAATAATTTATTTTCTATATCCGCGTTAGCAGAGATCAAGAAAAACGTAAGCACCGCCACCGTTAAAACGCACTTCGTTGACGGTGATGAAATCGTTTGAACGTGTTTTTTTATGGGGATGTTAAATCTAAGTTAAAATATAAGTGTGTGTATATTTATTCAATTAGTTTTGCGGTGACTAAAAAAAAGAAACATTTGTTTTGGTTACACTTGAACGACAACAACGAAAATCCATTCATTTTGGTAGGATTGATCTCGCCAAATCTGATTTTGGACTACTTTTACTCGAATCTGGACATTTTTTTATTTAAATAAAGAAAAACTCATGGTACTTGTGATTTACTTGAAATAGTTTATTATTTATAATGTAAAGTCATATTTTATTTGTGTTAATTTTTATTTAACTGTTTTACTTGTTAGTTTTAAATATTTCTTTAAATATAAACAATTTGAAAAAATACTCCGATTTGGCGAATAAATCGTTGGTAATAAGTATAGATTTATCACTATAATATTATTTATAGTTTATATCACAATTTACATACATTCTTTCACGTTTCTGAAGAAAGCTAAAAATCATAAAATAACTCTGATACAAATGAAACAACTATTAATACAACGTATTAACTCCACACTAAAAACTAATTTTTATATTTACCTTTAAGTATTTATACACAACACGTTGAAAATATAAAAATAAGTTTTTACTACGAGTTTTTTACGATAGAAGCGAGAACAATTCTTTGAAATAGTTTTGTACAGTGTAAAAAATTAGGAAAGGTATTAATGTTAGTTAACTGTTAAGCACTTTGTCTGTTATAAACAAAGTTTGTTAAACCAACTACATTACTGTGTAACATTTTTTTTTAAAATTGGTAGGTCATTTTTGTGAAGTGATATGTTTTAATGATAACCTTTATATATTAATACAATTTCAGGTAGAACCCGAACAAATTCAGAACGACTTGACCCATCCAAACGTAACAGACAATCCGGAAGCTGTATTGAAGTCTATTGAAATTCACGACGATCCGTACTCAGCAGCCAATAAAACACACGCCATTGTGCTATGCACCGAATGGGACGAATTTGTGGTGTGTACAATATAGATGTATATAACTATTAAAATGATCAAAGTAAAATTCTAAAACAAATTTCACAGTTAAAAAATATAAAATTATAATAATGTGTGTGGCAACAAACTCAAAGTCTCAAAATATAGTTAAATATGTAATGTTTTATTATATATAAATAATATAATATGTATTTAAATAAAAATTTAGGTAATTAAAAATTGTAAGGTAATCTATTTGAATAAAAACTTATGTAGGTAATACGTTTTCCAATCACTAGCTCAAATTAATTTTTATTTAAATGATAATTAAACAAAAACAAGAATAATAAAATCATACCAATATGTTATTTGACTACTCAAAAAAAATGTTGATAACATAAAATTGTGTATCGGTTTGTTTTTTGGTAATCAAAACCATACGAAAAAAATATTTAAAAATGTGTAACTTTATTAATTATTAAAAAAAGTTATTTAAATAACAAATTATTTCTGTTAAAAATTTTAAATTACCGAGTAAAGTTTATTTAATCTTATTCATTACTGACAAATCATTGTTCTTTTGTAATTTATGTACACCTTATTATTTTTATTTTTATTTTATTATTATTTAATTATTATTTGTAAGTAAACTGTCGCTCTCTACCTTCAACACATACTTGCTTTTAGAAGGTAGATAATCTCATTGTTTTTTATGTAATAATAATGGATTTACAATTTAAAAAAAAATTAAAGTAAAATTCTTCACAATTAAAAATAATGACAATATTTTAAAAGTGATTAAGTACATTTAATATAATAATAATACTTACGATTGTTTTTCAGCAATACGACTATGAACGGATCTACAAGAGCATGATCAAGCCGGCGTTTGTGTTCGACGGACGAAAGATACTCAACCATGAACGGCTGTCCACTATCGGCTTTCACGTACATACCATCGGAAGGCGTTGAACGTGACTCCAGACGAGGCTCTCTACTTACTGAAAAAATTATGAACAATTTACCGATAATAATTTATTATGATTACATTGTCCGTGTCTTCCGTATTACCGAACATATCAATCTTCGTGGAAAGTACGTTTAAGTGCTCTCTCCGGCAACTGTGAACAATAAAAAACAGAAGATTTTGAGTAACGTTAAATGATATATTGGTCAACAAAAAGTTTTTTTCTTAAATTTGTAATGTACATTATAAATAACTGTTAGCAATGTACGCCAACCAATCCCAAATAACATTTTTCGTTACACAAAATCTTCCTATAATTTTTATATTATTATTATTATTATTTGCATGTTTTGTATATTGAACCACTGACGTTATAATTGTATACAAAGTGGCCGTATGGCGCATTTACTAAGTATGTCTACCAACAACTTGGTATTACATAAAGTATTATTATTTATTTTATGATTATTTTAGATTTTTTTATCATTTTAGGTACCTATCATGTTTTCATTTTTTTTATTTATTTCATTTTTATTAGAAAACAAATTATATATATATTATATAGATTGTAGTGTATAAATTACATGTCTTAAGAGTATAATGTATACAATTTTGATGTACAATTCAACGTGTATTATTATTATTTTTAAAAGTATATTTATTTACTTATTAAAACAAAATAATTACCTAAGACCGTCTATATAAATTTTCTCTCTCCGACAGATTTTATTTTATAATCTTTGTAATACAAATCCTAATGTTATAATTAATTTATTAAACCTAACCGATTTTTTATCTTTCCCTATTTTATCTAATAAAAATTTTATATTATTATTTCTTAATAAAACTACATGTATGCCTTAATTTTTGAAAATAGTTGTTAAAACTTAAAACCCTTGTGATACTCGGAAAGAAGTCATACCCGATCTTATAATTTCTTCTACATCCCACTCTACTTAAGGGTGCAGGTTGTCCCAATTTCCCTTCGCCATTTATGTTTATTAACTAACCTAAAATCATATATTAAATTAAGATACTTCAATGATTAAATAAGTTCTTTACCAAGTGTCTTATTTTATTCTTCACTATGCCATCACTTTTCACCACAAGTGCTACATTATTTTTTTCTAAGTTTTCATAATTTGAATAATACAATATTATTATAAAGGGTGATCATTTTATCGTGAACCACTCAATATATCATAGGTTTTTTTATATATTATATTTAATAAACTTTTATAGTACTTGATTCTTAATTTAATAAGTTATTGAAATGTGGGGAGGGTAATAACTTATTAACTAATTGAGATCACATTGTATAAAAACATTATGGAAAAAAAAATTAACTTATTATTAAATCCTATGAGAAATTAAGTAGAAAATAAGTACAAAAATAATGTGCATAAGTATTGTTCAAATAATAAAAAACATGGTTTTGTACTAAACACAAAAAAATATTAAGGTTACTCGTATACAAATATATTGGCTTGAAAACAACTTTTTTAATTACACTTAATATAAATCCGTAATCTTTTTAATACAAATCGAATTCGACCTTATGAAATGTGTGATTATAATTTATAACTTTCAAATGTCGTTTTAAGTTCATCGCCACTCATGAATTCTCCCGTTGCGCCGGATTCCTGTTTTACATTACTATTGCTCATTTTTGCCAGAAAATGCTATTGGCTTATTTAGATACAGTATCACTAAAATGACTTTCCGTCGAAACAGTGTCGACAGTAATGTCTTGAAAAATACCCTTGAAAATCCCATTAGAATTTGGTTTAGAGTTATTACAGTTTAAAAAAGGTTATTTATAGCAAGCAATTTACAGTTTAGATTTAAACAGAGTGTTTGCAAATTTTACGTAGCATACAATTGCAATTTTTTTTAGAAAATTTTTCATGAAATACTTAAATTCAAACATATTCATGTTAAAAATAGCTAAGATCGGGTATTAATACTTCAAACAATAAAATAAATAATAACGAAATAAATGAGCAAAATGACTTCATCAATTAAATTAATCAATTTCATCAATTAATTTTAATCAATTAAAACTATATTTGTGTGTAACACACTACATACATGCTATATGTTAACATATAATTATTTTTTGTTTAATTCACCTTGAGATTTGTGTCATTTTTGGTAGTTGATTGAAAATCATAAGTCTTAAATTTTAAAATAAAAAAAAATCATTCTACTTAATACAATAGGGCGTCAGCCGTCATGCATATTTAATATAGTACACCGATATACAATATGTACACTGTATTAGAGCAATGTAAACACGCACTAAACCACCATTCTTAGTTTAAAATTTGAAGGACACACAATAGTGATCAATGGCAACTCTTTATCAAAACAGATGTTCAATTTTTACGTTACAAGGATTATTAACACCAAACACATTTTTTGCGGTCTTACACTAAATTATTAATGATTCATTTGTCGCTATACAGAAAACACAGAATATACGACTACAAATTATATAAAATGTCGTTTGTTCAGCACAAGTGGTCTTTGAAAGTTTCCTATATTGACATTTTTAGCATAGATCTGAAATAATTGTATTTAATACTTTTTGAGTTGTAAGGTTTTTACAATTTTCATTTTTCAATTATGAAACTATTTTGTTTAATTCTTAAATTCGTATCATCTTTACTGCAATAATACTCTACTCTAATAATACCCTTGCACCAATATAAAAACAATATGTTTTTCAGACAAATACTGTTCTAACTCATCGTAATAACAAGAATTTAGTATCATTCATCGTATTTGATTTTTTCAAAATGAAAAATTAGGCATATACTTAAGCGCTATGAATCAGATAAAATGATCAAATATGTTTATTGAACGATTATTTAGAGGGTTATTTTATAAAACTTAAAATCTTAAAATTTTAACTAGTAAATCTAGTGTTATCAGGTAAAATAGGTAAAATATTGTTATTATTATTATAATAATCGTTTCAAGTTATGTTTGTTATTTATTTAAAAAAAAAGTTATTATTATATTTTTAATTAATAAAATATTTTTTTTCTTCAAATAATGTTGCTTGTAGTTTATTTGAATAACATTTTATACTAATCATCATTATGTAATATTAGCCACTCTAAACAATTGTCGGTCGTTTGTGTATTGAACGGCTTGGAGGCGATTAAAAATGCTCCTAAACGATTTTTTTGTTTTACAATAGGTACACCACAAAAGATGGAAGATTAAAATACAAATCTTATGCCATCCCCTCGAGAGTAAACAATCATAATGATTCCAATATTGTTGATAGGTACCATTTAGATAGTGTATATTTTTGAAGTGCACAGCAGACCACAGACTACAAAGATATAACAACTATTCAGGTCATCGTCACTCGAATGCAAACGTAAGACCGTACATAAAGTCAACTGGGAAATATTTTGTCAAAATGTGGTTTTACCACAAAGTTAACGTACCTATTCGAGATGCAATCAATAAGACTTGAGGCTGCACTGGAAGGGGCAAATGTCCGGACAAAAGGACAATATATCGTTTATATGATGATTATCCTAGTCCATGTTTGTTTGGCAAAATTAACAACGTTATCTGTACGCCATTCGTTGACTCATCAGAGATTACACAGCCAGGTTTGCCGTTTCTATTGTCAGTGACGTTCAAAGGCGCATTACATTGTTATACAGACTTGGCCGTAAACGCTCACTCTAAAACGGCAAACGTCACGAACATATTTAGCGAGTTCTCCGTCAGAACGTGACATAACCATTGTTGCAAAGATATCATATTCGAAAGCGTATTATAAAAAAAACCAAAAAAAATTAATATTTTTAACAATATCCGCATTTATGTATTAAAGTATACCTACTTCTCTTATTTTAATTTTTTTTTTTTTAACGTTAAATTATAATTATATTTTTGCTTATGTTCACGTTGGTGTGTTTACAAAATTACAAGCACACCAAGAGTGAAGCTCTTTTGTATACATCATAATAATTGTTTTTCTCTCAAAGTATCACGGATACCTTCTTAGTAAAATTCAGCACTTAACATGTACACCCGAGGGTTAAAAAATAATTAATTTGTTCATTCACTCGACGAAACACCACGCAATCGAAATGTCCGTACAACTTTTTATCAAGCCTATATTATATAATATTATTATTTTATACTTATGATTTACGTTATTTTTACTATGACCAAGTAAGATACCAATTTACTATAGTTACACTGTTCAACAAAATTCAATAGATCATATTTACACTTTAATTATTATTTCAATTAGTATTTGAACATAAACTATAATTGAGTAAAACATTTTAAAAATACTAAAAAGTTTGTTTGTTATTTGTATTTCAGATTTGTTAATACTCCAATAGTTATTTGAACTTCAATTTTTAGGATTTTAATAACCCCAAGATAAAATTGTGTTATATACCTAGATTATAAAAAAACCCAATTTTTAGTTAAAAATCCCATTTTAAAGGATTTTTGTTTAGGATTTTCCAAAAGTTAAACAACCCTAATTGAGCTCACACAGTTATGTATAACTAAACAATATTTTTTTGTATACACTTTTTGTAATTTTGTAATCGTGTCGAAACATCATTAAAGTATATTTGAAAATTATTGAAAACACGTTTGATGACATTTATATACTTAAACATATTAAACAAATGTTTGCTGTTTTGAAACCCAGTCGACACGCGGCATGAATTTTTTTTCACAGGACCTTACCTATTTTAGGAAAGGAGTGTATTAACTTGATGTCTAAGTAATAAATATGATGTTACCCGAAAAATCTTTACAAATCTCAAGCAGCTGTAACTAATCAAAGGACTAATGTTGTCGTAAACGTGTCTGCGGTTTGCTGCGTGTTGACTGTTGAGCCTGAGAAAATCCAAATGTTTCCCAACGATAAAGCCAGACGAAGGAATACCAAATTTAATCTCACTTAAAAGTTCACCGCAATAAAATCCGGTCATATCAATGAGCCTAAAAGATATTATGCGGTCGGCCGACAGCGACCTACTGGATTCACGTCTAATCCATAAAGTACACATAATTTATATGGTTTTTTTCCGATTCATATCGATCACTGACGGCTTTTTGTCCCTTCCCCCCGCCTCCTAAATTATTTGATTGTACTACCAAATTGCCTTTGCTACTGCCTACTACAAATCATGTTTTTGACCTTAAGCGTTTGATTCTGTAGAATGTCAGAAGAGTTGTGCGAGAAATAAAATAGATGGTTTTTTTGGCGTTTTCTGGCGTCAATTATGTTTATTTAACATTTTATTGTACACCGTTCTTTTTAAATTCTCCGTTTTGACGATTAAAAAAAAGGCGAGTTATTTCTAGTGTATTCATGTTAGGTAACTAATTAGGTTCACTTTTATTATTATGTAACAGCATAACAATTTAGAAACTAGAAATAATTAGGATTCTAAAGAACTTTTTGCCCTAGTAATTAAGAGCTTAGGAATACTACACTCGTCCACGTGCTCTGAACCTGGACTTAGAGCACCCAGTTCACCATATAAAACTTGGCATCCCCTGGAAAATTGGAATATTGTGAGATGGGAAATTTTGATACTTTTTCAAGAAAACTTAATATTGGCGTTTTGAAGAGCAGCAGACAAATTCGAGGACAAGCTCGAAATATTTGATTTCCTAAATATTTTTCTGGTAATTTTAATACTTTTGTAGGTATCTTTAAATATAGTTATACAAAATTGGTACATATACTAACAAATTAAACGTTATAGTTATGTAACGCTTTAAGCCCTGATTTTATAGTAACTTGTAACAACTGAAAAGAGTTATTTTTTGAATATTCATGAACAAACCTAGGACTGAATAAGTTTTAAAAAAAAGAACTTTCCCAACACGGGTCTTGGCGTTATTTTTTAGTATAGTTATTTCCAAAAAAAGATCTAAGCTTTTGAAAAATTCAGAATTCAACAATTCGTTTTTCTTGCAGAAATGTTGAAAACGCTTTTGTAAAGATTTGTATATATGTTATGTAATATGTTTACAAAACCTGCTAAGTTTAAGCTGCTACCATCCTGCTCAACAACAGGGGGAAACGGGGGTGAAGCATAATTTCGAGGAAGTAAGTAGGCGGTAATCGCAGAGGGAGAGAAGAAATAATAGGGGTATTGTGCGTGCGGGATGAAGAATATAAATAGGATAACAACGTTGACTCTCGCAGTAAGAATCGTGACGGACTTAATGAAGTGTTGCACAGGTATAATCTTTACATCATTTTGGCCTACTCGTGTGGGTTACACACTTAGACCGTATTAACTGTTTTAATCACCGAGTACCAACCCCCGTAACAGACAGTCGACCGGGCATTGTTTATTGGCTAAAACGCGTTCGGGAGAGTGAATAAAAATAGTTGGTCGCCCGTGAATATAGTGCGCGAGTGTGTGGGCAGCGGGCTCGTTGAGATTCGCAGAGATATGGTTACGCGGTGGCGTGCCAAACGTTGTGGAATTAATGAAATTTGAGTGGCCGAGTCTAAGAGAATGATCGGCGTACCCGCGATATATATATATATATATATGTATATAGGTGGCGAGATAAAACGATTCTTGTGTATACTTTCGGAATTCCGTTACCATACATTAACATCGGCAAACACCTAAAAGCTGCACGTCAACGGTTTATATATATATATGTGTATCACAGTGAGCCGGGGCGGCCAATCGGCAGTCGCCGCTCCACCCCTAAGTATACATACCCCGGAGAACTCGAATGCCGGCGGTGGCAATCCACGGTCAAGCGGACGACACACACTATTAAGTCTTAACGCGATCCGATCGAGGTGTATCATCGTCATCGTCGTCTTATCTCGGGCATCGGCAAATAAAAAACTATTGAAACGCCATCGACGAGTGAGCCGAGTGAGTAGGGGTAATACATTATGTTAGTTTTTTACGAATTCGGATTTTAACAAAACACTTTGTTAATTGATAATAATCGGGGACGACGCTGTGTGCCGGGGTCGAAATTATCATAGTTGTACACAAAGTGCGTAGGGCACGCATAGCTAAAAGTCTAAGTTCATAACGTCAACAATTGATCTTAATATTATGCTCTACGATAAAACAACCTTTCTTATATAGATATTTGATTATTTCTTAAAGCCTCGTGGGCCATAAAAAAATCGATGAGAAAGTTCTATTGATTTATTTCATTGGATTTAGACTATGTGCCTGACACTTGTAGAGCTACAACTAAAGAGTTCACCAAATAAGCATAAGGCTTGTCCTACTATTAATTATATAGCGTGCCGTCTTGACTTTGGTTCCAATTAAGTATCTTTTATTTTATTATTGATCTTTGATTTACAACCGCTCGGGTCATTTGTAGTTAAGTATCTTTTGTGTGTGATTTATCGCTTTTTTAGGTTTAAGGTCTGAAAATTAGACCAAAGGTAGATCTAGAACGGACCTAATCTACAATTTCTCAAAAGGAGGTGATCAAACTTTTTTTTTTAAGGACCCCCCCCCCCAAAAAAAAAAGTAGGAAATTACACTTTGATCTTAGTGAATTTGAAAGTTGTTATGATTGTATTAAAGTCAACGTGTATGTAAAAATAGTTTCATTATGTTGTGAATTACAATGTATGGGCAACTTAACAAACTTAACAAATTATTATAGAAAGACAACCAACCCTAATCGTATCCAACATAACTAAAAATTACAATTTTATGAACATTATTGTCACTACAATGTTTTTATTATTATTTATATTTTTATCATCTACAGATTCATATCGAAGCGTTTATTTGAATTATAGGTATAATGATATTTACAGACCTGTGGCCTCCCATTTCCCAATATGCTCCATTCCACTATGACACAACCCCGCTGTACTGAATTATTATTATTTGTTTTGCTCATATATCGACGGTAAAGCGCACACATGCGTTAAGTGCAATTTAAATAAAAATAGATGCCAATAAATGAGAAGAATAGTGAAATTGAAACGTATTAATAATTGAATATTGTTCGCTTTTTCTTTTGTTTATAGAAAAAAAGATGAGTGGGTCCGGTAAAAGTTTACTTGGCTTGTGGCTTTATCGTTCGGGCGAGGAGTGGTCTTTACGGGAATCCACTCAAGCGGAAGCCGAAGTAATTCCAATACAATTTTTATGAAATATTTTTTTACAAATTCTATGCTTTGTGTATTTTGTTTTTAAGTTGTTTAAGTGTGTTTAATGTAAAACGCGATTTTTCAGGCAAGGCCAGTGATGGGGCCGAGGCAGGAAAAAAAATTCGACTCCAGAAACTCCGTGATATTCTCATTGAAAAATCAAGTCGGCGGGTTGGCCAGAGCGCTTCAAGTTTTCCAAGTGAGTCGTTCAAATCAAATTTCTTAGCTAATCGCTTTACCAAAAAGTATAACCAAAAAAATCGAGTTCTTATCAATTTTACAAAGTTTTTTGAGAATTTCTATTTTTACTTTGACGATGTAAGGCGGCAATCACCCACGTTCTAAATAAATTCCCTTAAGGCCAGGGTGTAGACAAATCAATGTAGCCCACTGAATTTCTCATTTATTTAATACCGTTAATTATAATAATTTATGAAACAAGCTACAATCAAGTACCGAATCTTATAATAAATTAAATTAACTAGATGTTGTTAAATTCGATACATTAAATCAAATATTTGTATTGAATTCATTCGCCGTTCACTCGATCTGTCATTTAATAAACTATACTTTAAAAGAACCTTAATATAGTGACGCAATGAGCATCGACTAATTAAAAACAAACCCAATGGCCTTTGCTGCCTAGGGTAATAATAAGAAAAAAAATAATTAAAAACAATAACGTACTTAATATTTTGACAAAAAGCAACGGAAACGTTAAAATTAATCACAATCGCTTAGTCAGAAGAAAATGTAAAGCATAAGTGCGAACTTATCCTCTGCTGCCCAGACACCGTAGATTTAATCAACAATACAGCCAATCCGCTAATCCAATAATGCATAGTTTTGTTCATCAACATAAATATATTTTATAACTTTTATACTGTCTCAACATTGCTAAATAATAATAATTAAATATATTGTTTATTTATTTTGTCTTTAAATACTGAGTATTAATTGCACAGTAAAAATATAATATTCGATATGTACCAACTTATCCCTGGCTGACCTTGGCTGAGCCAAGTCTGGCAAAATCTAATTAATTAACGAATAAAAACTGTACTAAAATTAATACAATTAATACAGTTATACTAATAAAAAAAAAAATGATGCAAAACATAATGAAATTATTATTTTTTTACAAGGTCATTTTAATGTGTATAATTTGAAAATTAAAATTCGATTTTTTTGTCAAATCTGCATGTAATATTTGGCGGGACACTTTTCTTTTAGTGAGCCATTTCGAATAGTTGGTAACCACAGGGTTTTTTGTTGGTTTTCACATCTAGGATTTGGGCGTAAATGTTTTACACATCGAGTCCAGACCTTCTCGTCGCAGACAATCAGAGTTTGAAATTTTGGTGGACGTGGAATGTGATAACAAGAGGATGGAGCAACTCACGGGCATGCTTAAGCGCGAAGTGGCAGCTATCAATTTGGCTACTTATGAGAGCGGAGCCGAAGTTCCGCCGCCGACTCCCATGTCAGCCACCGCTAGTTTCGGTACTTAACACTAATCTAAGAGTTTCACTCAGGGTTATCTTGACTACTATTGAATGTTTCAAATTTCTCAAGTGGCCAAAGAATAAAAATTCTGTTTTATAATTCGATTTCTATTTTATTCATTGCCAAAAACAATTTAACACATTGTTTACTGATGAATTGATTACGGTAATGCATGAAATAAATGTAAGGTACGTTTTGACAAATTCTCTCTTGATGTGGTTTTCAATGAAGTATTTGTTGTTATATGATATCTGACACGATAATAAGTATTTGGAAATTAAACAATTGGTTTTATTTAGCGCATCTCCATATCGTTAACGCGAATATTAATGTTTAAATAAAACAGTTAGTTCAATGCTGCACGTTGCTTAATGAAACTAATGTGATATTTATATCTATAAACACACTGATAATTTTCTATTAAATTAAGTATAATAAATAAGGAGCATATTATGGTCATAACAATTTAACCGACAAACGCGTTGGGCTACTTTAACTTGAAAAGTAAGTGGTTAAGTATTATTGCATCTATATAAACAATCATTTCTTTAGAGTTGAGATAACAAACCTCAAATATAGTACGAGTACCATGCATATTGTAATACAATTTTTTTTTTAAATTAAGTTCAAGCCGCAAAATAGAGGCAATTTTTTTTTAAACAATTTTTTTAATAAATTTCGATTCAAACAAAAGAACAATTATTAAAATATGTTTAAGCAAAAAACAACTGATTTGGCCTATTTAACGGTTTTGGATTTGATATGCGTCTCAATTATTTATCGTTCTTAAATTATACCTGTATTTTTATACAGTCGGTTGGAATTGGCGATTTGGAAAACTTAACCCGCGAATTTGTTTTCTATAGATTTTTCAGAGTTTGAAGTCCCGTGGTTCCCGAAAAAAATTTCAGACTTAGATCGAGCTCAACGAGTTCTCATGTACGGAACTGAACTAGACGCTGATCATCCGGTAAGTACGGGTTTTGTCACTTTACAATTTATAGAACAATAATAATTATTATTATTGGATAAATGTGATCGACAAATGTATAAACAAATAAATATTTAAATGTCTAGAGTTGTACCAAGTATACCTACTTAAAATTTAAGGGTAGTTCAACAAAATATATTGAAACTATATTTAAATTCTTACTATAATTAGTACAACCGGCACTAATTATTGTTTGTACTAATTGGTTTACTATGCACAAATACAATTTTAAATAATGATGCGTTGCCTAAAATAGGGATTCAAGGATCCGGTTTATCGTAAGAGACGCGTGGAATTCGCCAACATTGCAAACACATATAAATAGTAAGTGCAAAATATGATTTTGTGTTGAGAATATATTTTAAGAGCCAAACATACTAAAATTTATTGAGCCGGTTGATTTTTTAAATTATTTCTCTACACATTTTAGTGGCCATCCGATTCCGAGAGTCCAATACACGCCCGAAGAGATCAAAACATGGTAAGATTTTCATTTGCTACTCTACATTAATCAGATGTAACGTTTAACAGTATAACTATAGCAGTAGGTTAACATTTACATTTGGACGATAATAACAAATCCGGTCATACTGTTTTTATCAAAATCAAATAATGCAAAAATAAAGGATTTTTAATAATAATAAAAATGTTGCAAGTTCCGTGACATAATACGTCCGATTCATAAATAGCGTAGGTATAACAATAATAGTATAACCATTATAATGCGGTTTATTATCGACTGAATTTTTAAATTATTATTGTTTATTATTTTGTGGTATGACGAATAATAATTATAATTACACAGAACATATAATACTAAGGCATTTAAAAAAAATAGAAACCCTTGAAATGATTTTTTTTTTAAAAATTTGCTATCCCAATAAAACAATATATCAACAATTGCATCATAAAATCCAACAATTTGATATCGAGTATGATATACTTGATTACTATTGAATAACGTCGCAAATTGAGCATCCACCGCAGTCACCCTCCGGCTGTTGATTAGTTTCCTATTATATTACATAGGTACATATACTCTATAGAGAGTGTGTAAATTAAACTGCATGTTAATGTAATTTTATCGGATGTAACTGGCGGAGACTTGTAAACGCCAACGTAATTCAATCATGTACAACCGATTCGAATAATTGGAATAATATATTATGCACCGGAGACGTTTGACAAGCGGATTCAGTCAGGTCGGCTCCATTCGAAATGCCGTCTTTAATACAATTTAATGGCACCGTGTCAAAAGCAAAAAGTCGAATGGGTCGACACAAGCTTGTTACAAATGAGACTAATATGAGCACGTCCGTATACGCGTTTTTCACGAAATACAACCAATAAACCATTTCGAAATAGTTTCTCCTCATTTATATCGTCCTTTTACTTCACTTGCTATTAACTCATTTTTTGTGTGTATTGTTAACAGGGGTACCGTGATGCGTGAACTCCACAAGCTGTACGTGAAGCACGCTTGTCGGGAATACTTGGAAAACTGGCCGGATCTCGTCAAGTACTGTGGTTATCGAGAAGACAACATACCGCAGCTTCAAGACATCAACACATTTTTGAAACGTAACGAAAATATAAAATACCTAGTCGTCATCTTCTTCTTCGCTTAATCAAACCATTATCACTCCACACAGTTTTTATTTATTTAATGGTATTATCCACCTGTTGCTTCATCGGTTTACCCACATACCAAAATCATCTCAATCTATTTTCTCGCATTTGTATTTCGATATTGCCGAAACTCCTCGACCTCCTTTTCATACTAATCCAAAAATGTACTTAAACTTTTTCACTCCTATCATACCTATCACATAATTTTCATTTCAGATATTTTACTTCAATGCCCAATTGTATACATATAGATTTACATTTATGATAACATACAATCTAACCTATCCCTGCCCAACAACAAAAAATGTCCTTTCGCTCTAAATAGCACCATCCTATCCGACCGAACGTAAGAATTAAACGGATTTAAAAGAACTTTTGTGTATAAATCTGCCAGATCCTCATGATCAGATTTAATTCTAGTCCTAGTCTGATTTGATCAATTCTTTTAGAATAAAAATCTGAATTTATATTTACACTAGTGTGTGACTTTATTGCTCGTAATAGCTATAACTTATAGCTGGTATCTCCAAATCTACCCACTTATGTGGGTAAGTCATGAGCCTTATCAATATTCCGAATTCCGGTTATGTTGAAACCACGCTATATTTCTTTCCGAGGTAGTTGTGCGGCTGTTGTTTGACCAATCGCAGGTTTTCGGGTTCCCTTTGTCGTCCGTCACCATGATTTCTGGACTTGGACTTGGATAAAATTAATTTGAATTTGCGACTGCGATTGCTTTTTTCCACAGGAAAAACTGGATTTCAGTTGAGACCGGTGGCCGGTTATTTGTCGCCCAGGGACTTCTTGTCAGGCCTGGCCTTCCGAGTGTTTCATTGCACGCAATACATTCGACACTCTTCGGATCCGTTTTACACACCAGAACCGGATTGCTGCCACGAGTTGCTGGGGCACATGCCACTGTTGGCCAACCCGACGTTCGCCCAATTTTCACAAGAGCTGGGACTTAACTCGTTGGGCGCCAGTGACGAAGACGTCGGAAAACTGGCTACGGTAAGTCTGCGACCAATTTGTCCAGGTTGATTCATCCATTGCGCATTGTCCTGTACTTGTTTAGTTGTACTTTTTCACCGTGGAATTCGGCATGTGCAAGCAAGACGGTGAACTCAAAGTATACGGTGCGGGGCTATTGAGTTCGGTGGCGGAATTACGTCATGCTATAGAGACCAAGGAGAAAATCAAACGATTCGATCCGGAGGTCACTTGCCACGAAGAGTGCATCATCACTTCGTACCAGAACGCGTATTACTTCAGCGAGACGTTCGAAGAAGCCAAAGAAAAAATGAGGTTTGCAAGTGTTTTGTTGACTGCCAAAAATTAAATTGCACACACAAAAATTTATAGAGCCCTACATTAGTCAACCTCTCTTACCTGTTTTACTATCTCGATGTCCTCCTTTGCTACAGCATGATTAAACAGTAAGCTATATCATTGGTTCCCACCGTTTTTGCTGAAACACTCTCCCATTCCATCACTGCTGCTCTCATTCACAGTTTTATAACATTTTCCTTTCACTGTTTTTGCCGTCTAATTATAATTGCAATTATTATTGATTTGTCATATATTTGCATACATTACTTCTCAATATCAGTTAAATACTTAACAAATTCTGAGCTCAAGCGCTTTATTTTGGGGCTTTTTTTTAGGGAGTTTGCAGACAGTATTCAAAAGCCGTTTGGCGTGCGCTACAACCCTTACACTCAGAGCGTAGAGATTCTCAGCAACACGGACAAGATAGCGGCATTGGTGTCTGAGCTCAGAGGCGACCTATGCATAGTCAGCAATGCCCTAAGAAAAATACACGCCGAAGACGAGGCGGTAGAGAATATCACAAACATGTTACACAAGGGTATGAACGTGAGTGGAATATCGCCAGAGAAATCTCCTGAAAAATCTCCAGATAATTAATCCGTCCGAGGGTGGTGCAGATGACGTGAATCGAACTATTATACCATTATTTTATTCATTATGTTTTTCGACTTCATTGCATTACTTAGTATTACTATAATGTCTTAAATTAGAAAAATTTTCGTAGATAAAAGAAAATAGATTTTATTGTAGCCGTTATAATATTGTCGTATCGAACGTTTTTCTCTGTTAAAATAAATCTTAGTGTGATATAAAAATACATGTTGAATCGTTTACCTATAACCGTTCCCTAAACTATTGTTGGGCATTAGTAAAATCAACAATTACCAATACCTATCGGCTATAAAAATATTTTCTTATTTATATATATACATATTACCGTACTGAAATGTTTTGCTAAGCTAATAAACAGTAAGAACTGTGTACACATAGGTAGGTAACGGTTTTTGTGGTGTCTTAAACTCAATATACTGAGTATCCTATTACAACAGCAGCATCGGCAAACATTGACGTATATACTAAAAATATTACTTATTAGAACTATTACTCAAAAATGATAGTACAAGATATTAGCTATAATATGATACAATTAACCTACAAGCAGCAAGCATACTGACTGTTTGGATACTTTAACATAATGGCACATGCGTCATGCAATAATAAATACTTGTACTGAAATTGCAAACATAAGTTTATATGCATAAGATATTAATATAATCGAACAGCAATTTATCACAATCCTGTGCGGACTCTTTTCTGTAGGCCGTTATAATTTCAAGTACAGAAAATCGTGTAAGAAAAAAAAGAACTCAAGTCCTTTAAAAAAATAAATTAAAATATACAATTTTGCTTATAGTCATATACACCTTGTTAGCACTATAAAGTCTCTTAAGTGATTTTTTACACGCTTTTCATTATTAATACACGTGAAACTTAATGCACGAAGTTGTTTTTACTATTAATTTATTTTGTAAACGCTCCCGCACTCCAGTCACGGTTCTGCAGCAGTCTGTACAATCCAAATCTAACGTAACGTTCACAGCCTAAAGCTCTCACTACAGACCATAGCATAACTTTAACTTAATTTAATCTTGATTAACTAACTAAATTAGGGTTATGTTATGAGCTCGGTTTATGTGGATAGTGAGACCCAGAGTCACAAACAGGAGGAAGCTTTTAGGCCTATACAATTTCTTCAAGCTACACCGAAACAATATCTAAGTGTATTTTTAGTTTATTAATTATTGAGTATTAAAAAAAGTACAATACATTCAAACTTTTAATTTCACTTAAATTAAAAAGTTAAAAAATACAACATATTATTGTAGGTTCAATTCATAAATAGTATTCAAGAGCACGGTACCAAAACAGCTGATGAAGACACGGTTTTGGACTCTTCTTCCAAAACGCCTGCAAACACATTGAACCGATGATTGATTCCTTTCAGTAGATGTACTCGAGTTAAAGACTCCAATCCTCCGTCAACGCTGGTGCACCCGTAGAACACTCTTTTCACTCTGCTGTGAACCAAAGCCATTGCACACATAACACACGGTTCTCTTGTAACGTAAATGTCGTATCCAGTGCACAAGTACGGACCAGTTTTGTCGTTAGAATGCACAAAAGAAGTTTTGGACTTCGACCAGGCACCACCGCCTTGGCTTTCGGCCACTTTGTCCACAACACACATGATGGCGTGTTTCACTGGATGTTTAAATCGATAGTCACCGCTTTGTGCTATTACCGTATCGTCCCTAGGATCGACAATTACAGCACCGGTACCATTGTGGGCACATTCCAGCGCTAGCCGCATGTAGCCGTCTATTTTGGCCAACTGCAACTGATCAAAAAATGTGTTGTTCAGTAAAGCCTCCAATTGTTTGTCTGGATGAAAATTACAAGGCCACAGAGTCCGTGCTTGCTGATTTTGTAGACAAGACTTTGGCATGGACAACGGCACCTCTATGGTCTTGGGACATCCGCTCAAACCAGCAAAGTCAAAGCCTTTTTGTTTTAGCACACGTACACACTCGTCTGGGTCTAAGTCTTCGACTAACATCAGTATGATTGTATCATTTTTCACCCGTTTCAGATGGGTCAAAGTCGGTATGGGTGAAATGTCGTTAAGTTGCTTTACCACATTACTCGTTAATTTACGTTCGACAATAGTGTCCACTAATACGTTTACTGTTTGAATTTGGTCAGAAGTCACATCGCTCGGTAGTATCGGTCGTAAGGTCCAAGTCAAAGGAGGTCTTGCACGTTTCGGTTCCATTCCAAACAATTTTACTCAATATCTATAACAAAACGTAAATATATTTCTTAGTTAATTAATTAGAAATCAATACATTAAAGTAAACAACAACAAAAGCCAGGACAGAGGGGACAAGGAAGACATGTCTTTAAAAACTATTACACCTAAAAGTGATATACAATTAAATTAAAACAAACGCTATTATGCAAAAACTGTAAATTTTCCTCTAAAAAAGTGTGACTTTTTTAACAATGTGGCAAAGAATATATATCAATAACTTTAGTAATTGAGAATAACCGATACTGAATATTTTGATTGGTCTATTGAAGATGTATAATAATGTAAAAAAAACTATAACGTTCAAAACAAATCAACACCATTGATTAATAGCATATTTAAATTCTATACTCCAGTTTAAGTTAAAAAAACAAGTAAACTAAAAAAATAATAATAAAAAATTAAATGAAAATATTCATTTAAACAAAGAAATTTAATTTTAATTATTGTAAAATATTGAAATATTTTGTATAAACTATTTTGGTAATTATTTATGAACTTAAATGTAATATGTGGTTTGTTACTTTGTAGTTTAGGCAGTTTTTTTTTTGCATTTTTACATACTAGGTTCATTATTAGACATTAGCCTAATGTTAAGGCTTACTCAGTTGATCATTACAAAAATGATTAAAATTGCTTTTATAATATTATATTATAAAAATTTATTTAAAATTGTATGAAAAAACTTTAAACAAAATCTAAAAAATGTATTTATCATCTTTTATATAAATATACAACTTAACTTAAAACAATTATTATTTACAAATAATTAATGGAAGATACATAGTAAGTCAATCGTGTTTTACATAAATACAAAAAAAATGTACTCGAACTGTACATTTTAGTCCTACAGTAATTAAAAACTAATATCAGTTGACTTTGATGAGAGGGAACATGTTTTTAAAATTAAGACATTAAACATCAAATCGCAAGCACGACGATATACCGTCTTCATCATACTCTTCTTTGGTGACAATTAGAGATTTAAATTCTGGATCTTTGCTTAACATTTCACCTCCACCCCACGCATAGGTAACGGGACTAAAAATAAATAATAAATCAATTAGCATTACTAACACTTTTTTATTATTATACTTTTTAATGAGACTTACTTTTTGGGTACGGTAATGGAAACGTCAAATTCATCGGGCGAAAGGGATCTGACGTCATTGTAAAGACGCTCTCTAAAACCGGAGAAACAACCGTTTCCCCCGGTTACGATTATATTGTTGTAAAGATGAGGACGAGTTTCTTCGGGACATTTACTTATACTGTAAATGATGGCTTCGGGTATGCCTAGTTGATCGATACCAACATCGCTGGGATGGAACAAAATCTCGGGAATCGTAAAACGTTCATTGGACAATCTCAAAATTTGCTAAAACAACATGTACAATTATAATGAAATACAAAGTGTATAATCTACAAATGGACCACTACTTACATTGTCTTTATCGACAGCGCCGCCGGTCTCGTCCAATGTCCTGACAAATCCTCTATTTACGGTTGTATAATCTGGCAGTACATAATCTCTAATGATTGTATTTTTTGGCCACTTGGCCTTGGCGGTTTTCAAGTCTTGGTTAAAATCAGTGCTCACAAAGCACATGTCTTCTTTGACCTGGTTCATTACGTATGTCTCTTCCATTACGTCTAAATGGCGGTAAGATATAACCTCTTTCAGGTGGTTAGTGAGGATTTTACCTCCCACGTTGATACGCAACATTCCGGGTTTGTATTTTTTTTGCAATATATATGGTACAATGTGAGTAAAACTGTAGCCAGTTTCCACAACTAAACAACATTTGGCTAACTGGTGTTCTTGGTGATAACGATACGACGATAGGTCTCCAGCTAAAGAAGAAAATGTGTATAATAATTTATACTACAAATGTTTGCGCGGTTACTTTATATTAAAATTTTTACCATTAGTGCGCAAAAGAGAATGGAATTCATACTCTTCAAAAAATATTTCTGTCATTCCTTCTTGAATCGATGAAAAGTTAAAATATGGTTCGGTAACGATTAATGGTGTTTCAGAAAAATTTGCTTTACAACACTCTTTACTGAACAGATAATCCCAAACCGTTTTTTGTATATCCCAGTTTAATAAATAACCCTGAAAATAAATGATACGATTAAAATTCGTGTAACAACATACTACATTGAAAATACTCAAGAGGATATTACAACTGATAGTTTAGGATTCTTTAAAGAAAATTGTTTAGAAGTCATTATTCTAAATTTAAATAATTGTGTGAATGAGATGTACACAAATGCTGATAGTATAGGGCTGTGCGACTTTTTTAAGTTATCAAATTACATATAAATAATTTTATGGTATATAATCAATTACCAGTCACATTATGATTGTCGATTATTTAGTTTTTACATTTGATACCAACTGATTTGTTTTATAATTAATTAATCAACTTTTAGAATAATTCATTTTTAGCTATTCAACTATTCAAAAAATTAATACGAACACAATTATTACCCATTAATCTATTGTTAAAAAACCTATAAACGAATTATCTCTCAAAACTTATTAAAATTAATAATAATTGATCAATAATGAGAATAATAATTGATTAATAGTTTTTCGACTAACCAATTTTTTCGATTTAATCTATAAAAACACGATTATTGATCAAATACAAAAAAAACATTAGCACAGCTCTACAATAATTTATAAGTAATTCATATTTTATTAGACTATGGTGACATTTTGATTGCTTACTTTTTGATATCCCAACATATAATATAATCCGGACTTGTCTCTACACTCTTTGAGCTGGTCTCCGATAAACGTACGCCGTCTTTCACTCTTTGCCTTCATTATATAATTGGGTATAATCCTGAGAAGCGAACCGTTTTTTATTAAACTATGGTAAATTTATAAGTATATCAAAGATATAGTGCACAGACGTTTAAAAGAACAATTTTTAAAAATATTACCGTACGTAACAATAAATATTTAGCTTCCAAATTTGTAGGAGGCTAACAGGTATCTACAGCATGTCTCAATTTCTTAAAAATAAGCCCTTTTGTGCACTGTACCGTCGATATGGAAAATAAAACGTATTTCAACAAAATATGTACTCACAATGGCTGGTCGTCTCCAGTGTGACCCACCTTGGCCGTGTGAGCTCCGTTATCCAAAATATAACTTTTACCAGTCATGATTTGTGCGGAAGAAGGATACAAATGAGAAAACCAATAGCGTTTTTTCAAACGAAATTATCACTATTGTAAATAATGTAACAAAACGGCAAGCGGCGTCCACACGCGAGCGGTGTACGATTTGTTATCATGTAAACAAACTAGTCGCGCCACGTTAAGTGATAACGAGATACGGCGGCGGCAGGGGTTCGCAAAGTCGGCGCGCGACAATTGGTTCTTAATTTGGTTCGAACGGATTTTCATCAGCGGAATTTGGTCGACGAAAAAATCATCTTTAATCGGCTTTCGATAAAATCGAATAGGTACGTCATGTGTTACATTTTCAAGTAATTTTATTGTTGTTTGATTTGTGTTGCTGTTTGATTTCAAGTGAGTTCGGGCATGGCGGTACGTAGATATTATTATCGTTTTGGAATAATTTATTCGCCTACGGGCAGCTCGGCCGTCTTCGGCTGGTAACGGCGGCGGAGACCGAAGGGTCGGCGGAAAACGAAAAAAAAAATCAATATACTATACGTGGGGTGGTGGCCTACCAGCGAAGAGAGTAGTTGTTTCAAGTAAATTTCGTCATTCGTTTCTTGCAAAAGTCTCGTGGCTTCTTCGACGATTATGCTTGTAATGCTTAAGTGATATTTTTTAAGGACACCAATCGGCAATGGCTGATTCCGAATTCGAAGAATTCAGGCAAATATTCGAATCGTTGCCGCAACACCTTAAGGCATCCGCGCAGACCTACACGTAAGTACACAATTGTAACTTGTATTTGATTTTTTCCTCCTCTAAACTTGGCGGGAGACAGGAGATCATATTGTTAAATGGGTTTTCCGCTGATCTGCGACTCGAGTCTCGGGCATTGTTTCTAGATTCGTAAACATAAATGACAAGATAATAATACCATGTTTACCAAAATGCAAGTTTTTTCAAAGTGGTTTTGAAATCCTCCGTATGTTGGTGGGTTGTAAATGCTGAAAATGTCCAAAAACATTCGATTGCAGCAAGTAGTTTAACTTCTACTACCGAACAGTCTTGAACTAGTCTTAGTCATAATATCGTTCGTATAATGTTGACCTGTACCGGGACATGGTATACACATATTACTATAATTATGTAATACCTGGGTAAGATGATCTCGTATTCATATAGAATAAAAAACTAGCTTTCGTTACTTATCATGTATTGTTTTATTAGAGAGTTTATTTTTACTGACAAAAAACACGATAACAGTTGGATAAAAAAAATTGGTACGAATTGGTAGACTTAAAACAATGCAAGTTTAAATTAGAACTGTACCTAAATTGGTCATATTAAACAATTCTTTAGCTTAAAATTAAAACATATAAGTCAGTATTTTTAACCGCATTAACTTTAAATTGAACGTTTTTTGTATAATCTCACCCACACCCCCACCCCTAAATATCCGGCAATGTACTTAATTAAAACATAAAATACAAAAATTCGATATAATATGTACCTTTACCGCTAAAATACTTGTGTACATGAAAAGTTTTAAAAAAATGAGAAAAAGTTAATTGTTTAAATATAAATGTAATTAAATAACGATTAATTACACAAATATTTTCAAAATTAGGCTATAATCTTATCAACATAAGTATTAATTATAACACTAACAAATTTAAATATTAACATAACCGGTATTTGTAAACTTTTTATTTGTTTTTCTCAACACCGAAAATAATATTACGCCACTAAGTACAACTTGATCTAATTACTATGTCATAAAAAAACGGTAGCTATAATGGATTTTTTTTTTAATTATCATGCAGTTGAAAAATAGGTATTTACTTCAAATACAAAGATAACATACGCTAAGATATATTTTAAAATAAAATTAATAAATTTTGTTATTTTACTTGTTAAAAATTGAAGGATATGTTATATTCCAAATGTTCCAATAAGAACCATGTTTGCCAATTGTCCTACTGCCTACATACGAAGTAATACACTTGTCTACTATCTAAAAAAATAAGATATTAGTTCTCCGAAATAATAATTTAAATTTAGTTTCTCAATAAATACTGCTTAAAAAAATACTCAAATATATTATATCATTGTAATAATATAATATTAGTTATCGTGTAGGTATGTAGTATGATAGATGGTCCAAAATATATATTTTTAAGCAACTATCATCCAAAAATGTAATATTAGTAGACATTTTATGGAATATACCGCCAAATATATTCTCCCATTTCAAGGAATACTTTATACTTGTTTTGTTAACATACGAATTTTTGGAGAAATTAAAAACTGTATTTGCATAATGACATTTCTAACAAGAGAACATCAAAAGAAACACGGAATGATTTGTTTCATGATTTACATCTACCCGGAAATTTAAGATTAAAGTTTCATAATATAATACACACAAATTGTTTAATTGTATGTTATAGTTAATGTAAAGACACATAAAAAATTCCTTACAATTTAAGGTCAAATCACAAATTTGAAAATTAATGACCTTTGAAAACTTGTTGTGACATGTATGACAAAAGGTGTTTTTCAGATAAGAACATAAAATACACTATCGATCATTTTTAATATATTATTCGATAAAAAAATGTATAATGACCGGATTACTTTTTAGACCTTATGAACTAACAATATTCATTTGTATCTAACAATATTCATTTTATTTGTACAGATTCAGAGTATTGTATTGTTTCACTGATGTAACGCTAGTTGAAATGTGTGACGAAGTACTTGATATAAACGGCGCAAGTTAATAATATATAATTTGTTGATTTATGTTTTATTTGAATGATAATGTATCATTATAATTCCGCATTGTCTGTATTCAATTACAATACGACCTCGCTTATTACCATGCATTTTTGACATGTCCTGTCTGTATATTTTGTACTTATGACAATAAAAAATAATTATCTTCCTAATAGTACCAGCATTTCATTTGGGAAGTTGGTAGAACGACTGCGGGCGTGGATTATGGCAGCGCATAAAGAGACCAATAATTATTGGCTTCAGTAACTCAAGTGTGTTTAGTTGGGGTTAGGAAGCTAAACAACCGCCCCTAAATAGACATTTCGCTTTTGCTACTCATACTAAAGACACATAAGTATCAACGCAATCGCATTTTTTTGTAAAAATAAAGCTTTGGCATAATTTTGTGGATAATACCCACGGGCCACGAATCAAATTAAGTTGCATCTAACCCATCGAGAGGCTGCCTTATGTAAAAAAACGCTATTGGGATGGTTAAATGCGTAGAAAGCTGAAACAGATTTACCAGAAACCTTACGTCGACGAATATATAATAGACAAAATACGGTATCTTTAAGTCTTGTTTTCGTTCTACACTTGAACTAAAAAACTGTTTCATGCTCATTGAGAAGCAGGCTGCTAAACGTCTAGTTAATATTACTATTCATATTTATACTTTAGTTTCGAGCAAAAAGCTATAAAATACTGTCAAGCATGTAATTATTTAAGTTAAAAAAATTAAATAATGCTAACAATCTTAAATAATAATAATTATTATTGCTAACTATAGGTTTACATTTGTATACAAATAATATTATTATTTATCAAAACTGAAAGACTGTAGTCCGGCAGAATATTCCATCTGTTCCTAAAACTGGATGTTTCCGTTTGTCTAGTACAGTAGTAATAGACACTAAAAATAATTGTAATACGGGAAAATCTCAAGGTTAGTAACAAACTGGTAGAATTGGTGGGTTTTTAAAATGGTTTTCTTTGAATCAAATTTGTATACTATGAACTAACGAGGAAGTCTAACCGTAATAAATACAAGTGTTACAAGGACGTGTGCATTTGCTTTTTTATCTAATGGTTTTCCTAAGACAGGTGATATGAGATAAAACAAAGTATTATTATTTGAATAAGAATTATTATTATTTAATGGATATACAAACATATCACACTATCAATTATAATAATGTCCTAAAACTGAAAAAATGACCAGTTGTTAACTAAAAGAAAAAACCTGTATTATGTTGAAGTTATACAATTTATAGCACATTTGGTAGATCCGTACATATAATTTGTGGCTTAATAACACTATTTATGGACTTTAGAAACTTGTTTTATTATTAGTTCTTAGAGTAATGCCAATATAGTCGTGTAATATAAAAGAAATGTATGTGACGAAAAAACGTTTCCTTCTAGTCTTCATCCAAGGTCATTAAGTCCATTAAGGCGGTACACACAATACCTTTTTGCATGTTAGTTTTTTTCGTGTGCCTATAAAAACGTAAGTGATATACACATGATAGTTTATACTTAAAAAAGGGGAGATAATTTAATTTGAATCAGATATAAACATTATGTATATTTTTATGGAACACATTTAGCTTTTGGTCAAGACCTTGGTTGTTTGGTTGAGTTATGGTCCGCTTGTAGTTATTTACAAGTAAACAAACCATGATCATCCGGTCGTTGGTTTTTAAAATTAAAGTTATAAAATTTTATTTTTGGCTAGATAATAATTTCCATCACGGCTTGCCTATCTATTTAATATTCCATCCTATTTTTGAAGTACTATGTTTCTTTTTCGTTTTTTATTCACTAACGAGTATCCCTGTAAGATATCCGACCAATATAACCGAATCCCTGGTAAGTACATTACTCAAGAACCACCGAAGCTTTTCCTACAAACTAACTTAAACCTTAACTCTTCAAGCACATTCTTATTATTCAAATTCTGCGAATGCACACGTATATCGTTTAAATAGTCGACCAAAGCGGTTTCGATTTCCCATGGATAACATTAATTTCAGCCCGACTATTGTTATGCGTTTATACATCAACGTGGGACGTTTGTCATTTTTTCAAAACATTTCTGGCATCGTATCTAACCATTCAGTTTTAAAATCAATGTACAAGTGGTGGGTTTTTAATGGCCCGCAACAGCAAATCTCGTAGGATGTCATACTTAATAGCCCATTAGAGTTCTATACGATTTTTTATAAGTTTCCCAAACGAGACTTAACATGTAAGAGGTCCTATAGGATTATCTGGAGTTGCCGTTTAAGCTCTTTCTTTGAGTCCCTATAATATCGGATTAGATTTTCAAAGCGAAATGCCCAAATGAGAGAAGGGATATGAAAGGATAATTTATTGGGCTTCCATAATTGAGTCATGGATATTCTTAAGGAATTTGCCATTCTTATTAGGGGTAACTTCGTTAACTGCGTCAAGTGTTAAAATAATACTGAATGGGATTTGTCATGATAGATTGGTACACGATGTGCTGTCGGACGAAGAAACGAATAATGAAACGGTTTCCCATAAGAACGTTAACGGTTCCTCATCGACCGATGCTTTCAACGTGTTCTCTACGTCGGACAATGACCAACACGAATTGGAAATAAAGTATGTGTTATGCTCAAGTTTTAGATTAAAATACTTTTTGAACCCAATATTTTGATTGTTTGTTGTAGACAAACGGTGCGGTTGAGGTATGAAAAGAGGAGGCGAAAATTGCCAGAAATTCCAAAAAACCGAAGTAAATGTATAATACGCGGGTTGATATATATTAAGTTAATATATATTTTTTTCTATGATTGCAGATGGGTCAACGTTAAGTCTAGCCGATGAGCTGGGCGAAGATTTCTCGTCCTCGGACAAGAGGAAATCCTTTGTGTCGGGTTTAAGAGACACCGAATGTCGGTCACCAGACTCCGGAATTTCCCTGGTCCATTCCCCAGATCGCGCAAAGTCCAGTTCACCTCAGCAAATCGGTAAAATACATTTTTATTATTTGGTCGTCACAATTTTAAAAATCGTTAATGGAACTTATGCGACGATTGATTGATCCGGAAAGACGTGGAAAAACCAATAGCTATTCTACTTAACCTAACCTAACCTTAGTTAGCCTTGGTAGTTAAATGCGTTGTATTGAACTGTAGTTTGAACGAATATACGTTCTATTTCATTTTTAATAATTATTGTGCATTGTTTTTTTGTAGACACGCCAGCGTCGTCGTGCTGCTCTTCGGGTCTTCCTTTGTCTCATCTAGAGTTGCTTGAAGCTACGCACAGGGGACTTTATAAGTTCATTCCACGTCACCGGGACGAGATGGAAGTGGACGTAGGCGATTCGATTTACGTGCAAAAAGAAGCCGAAGACGGCTGGTGCGAAGGTATGAGGCCCATAAAGGAAACAAATAACTAATTCCATATGTTCTTTCTTTAAGATTTAATTTTTTTTTTAACCATCAATTGTCATTATTAATATTATTACTATTAACTAGTAATAATTCATTGCATTATTGACAACATTGATTGTTAATACATATTAAAATATGTTATTTAGCTATATAAATCGATGGTTAAGCGCTCCCATATGTTAAGTACACATTTCATAAGAATAAAAAAAATAACAATAAAAAGCAAAAATTATACTAATACATGTGTGCGCATAACGATCGAAATAATCACTTTTAGCTACTATATAGCGTTTATGAATTTAAAAGCTATAAGCCTTTGATCGTTACCCCATAAAAATATTCGTACAAACTGATGGTTAAAAACTAGAATGTTAATACCAAAATAATATGGTTCCTAGGCATAATTTTTTAAAAGTAGTGTTTACAATAAGAAAACAAATGTTAAACCTTGAAACGATTCTTTTAATCGACTACCTATTCAATAAAGAGTGGGCTTTGACGCAAAAAATAACCTAATTTACACTACAATCGTTTTGGAAACGTCTACTATTTTCTTTTAAACTTCACAAAAGCAGATTTAGTTAAAATGTTGGAGCCTATGATTTTTTTTTCTTTTAAATTTAACTAACATATTTTTGGTTCATGTTAATTATTATACCCTTTTTAACTGTCGAAATTCAAGGGGAAAATAATCCAGTTCCCAAATCTCTGGTTGGGAAGAAAATGGGGCCTTTCCGACCGAAGTATATTATGTTTATAAACATTTTATAGATAAGTAAACGGGTTAATGTTTAAAATAAAAAAATGATGTACGTTAATATAGATGATAAGTGTAAGAACAATTTCGGAAAAGTATTTTTATTTAATTTTGGCCGAAATTGTTTTTTTTTTAATGAGCGATTTATCACTTAAGTATATATTTAATTATCATTATACCTAACATCTCTGGTTATATTTTAAATTGTCTTCATAGTTGTGAAAAATGTATAAAATAACAACTTAAATTTCCTTTTTCTGAAAAAAAAAAAATGCTTCATAACGCCTGTAATTGGTTTTGAGTTTAATAAAATATAAAAATTTAAAAATTATAAAAATTACAAAACTCGTTGTAAATGCTACGAAACATTGTTTTGTTTTTACAACTTTGAAGATCATCTTGAAAATTAACAAGACAAATAATATCTGTGGTCATATTCAGATTCAGTGAAAAAATTCCGTGAATGCATATATCTTGATTTTTGTTCCAAATATATATGTTTTGTACAGTGTATGTACCTATTCATAAATATCAGCTCCTCTCCCTTTGTATCAAACACCTGATGTGTCTTTTCATTATCGATATCGAATGTTTTAGATGCTATATATTTATAATCATCTATAGTTTTGTAATCATAATTATTAAAAAAAAAACCAGTTTAATTATCAATTAGTAATCGTATTTAATTTCCATATAAAATTTACTCGAGTAATTGATTTATAGTAATTTAAATAACGCCCACTTTTGGACATACATAACTGTTTAAACTCATATTTGTGAGTAACTACTAAGCACATGCTTGGCTCGAACAAAATAACCAACCACAAGCTGGACTTTTTTTGGCAATTTTGATTTTTTTATAATGGAATCTCTACATTGTATTATTGTCTTAGGAGTGAACCTCCGGACTGGTGCGCAGGGTGCGTTTCCCTCGGCGTACGCGGTGGACGTGGAATACACAGAATTCGACTCGGCCGCACCCAAAGCGAAACGCGAACGGTTTCTGTTGGGCTACATGGGTTCGATGGAGACCATGTGGCATAAGGGCAATTCCGTGCTGTGCCAAGCCATACGAAAAATCACCGAGAGATCTAACTGCAAACCGCAGTCGTGCATACTAGAAGTGTCCGACCAAGGTCTAAGGATGGTCGACCGTGCCAAATCAGCTGCAACGGTTGGTAGAATATTTTATACGTTCACTTATCGTTGGGTTAAGCCACGAAATGTTTAAGACAGCAGGAGGAAGGATGGTGGTGGTGGGGATGGGGGGGTTTAATTTACCTATACGCCCTTCTAGAAAATGCATTTGGACCTCTTAAGCATAAAACATTACGGTGCTATTTCTCTATTAGGATAACAAGAAAAATATTTAGTCAATTCCCCTAGTCTGAGCGTGTAAACAAACCATTAAAAACTTGGCAAGCAGATTTATTAATTTAATTGGCTATATAGTTTTAAAAAATAGTTTTCCATACCTAATTATCTTTGCAGTTTATTTATGGTTCTTGCTCGAAGACCAATATTTTCAAATGTTTATTGGACTTAATAAATATACGAATATATTTATAAATTATATGTAAAAACGATGTCAATTGTTTACTGTTATTGGGTCGAAGTGATTTTTTTCTGATATTAACCGTCACAGGTCTAAAATAAAACAAGAAATTTGATACGATGACCGAAACCTGATATATTAAAACTTTGATAATTTCGTAATTATTGCTTCTGAAAAATAACCAATACCGTACAACCTAAGTATTGTTAACATCAGTTCTTGTACTGACCTTGCTTTCAACATTATAAATAGTATGGACACCATGCTTCGAGAGGAAAATCTTTATAAGCATTTTTTTTTTTTTAGAAAACGTTTTAAATCGCTTACACGTTTAATTCGTCAAACACAAAATGTCCTTTTAGTTTTAAATTCGTACATCTGTTTTGAATGTTACAGTCGAGAGAGACGAGCACGACGTTTCAAGATTATTTCTACTCGTTGAAGAACGTCTCGTTTTGCGCCTTTTATCCGGAAGACCACAGGTACATGGGCTTTGTGACCAAACACCCGACGTGCCAAAGGTTCGCGTGTCACGTGTTCAAAGCGAACGAATCGTCGAGACCAGTAGCCGAAGCGATCGGGTAATGACTTTTAAAAATTGTATTTCACATTTAAATAACAACAAATTAACCATATTATACAATAAAAAACTAAAACTGAGTTTGATTTGTTAGACGAGCATTTCAACGGTTCTATCAGAAATACATTGAAACGGCGTATCCAATCGAAGACATATACATAGAATAATAAGCGAACAAATACCAAAGGGCAGTGTGTAATATAATCAATATAGAGTAATAGAATCTATAGATAAAATATTTACTGAGAGAGAGAGAGAATAAGTGAAAAATAATCGCTATTATAGATGCTATGTTTGCGGTAGGATGGCACCAATTGACATGCTACTTTTTGTCCAACTTTCGGTTAAACAGAAAGATCGTTTTTAAATTATGCTAATATTATTCTGTTATTTCTATAAATATTAAAAATATATTCTTTTTGATAGCAGCAATTTTAACTAAAAAAAACAATTGATTCTTCGTTAATATATCTATGTCGAGACAAAGGGAAGAAGGAAATACTATGTTTATTCGTAAAATCAAGCTATTTTTACACATCATCGAAATGTATTTTTAAACATTATCTTCCACATTAACAACCGCATAGATTGATAATGAAAGCACTCAGACATACCATAGTTTCCACTTCGTGTAACACCTAATTTAAAACATATCGACATAATTTTACCAAAATTGACATTAAAAACGTCTGCCATCCTACCACAGATATACATTTTTACCGGATCTCTAACGTTTACCATATTATTATAATATTATTTACGAGAGAAGAATCTACAACAAATTCACGACAGTGCTCTCTTTACAATACCTAAATACAATTTGTGATAAGAATCAAAGTTTTTGATGTATTCTAATAAGTAAATTAATATAATATTATAAGATGTTCTTCCTTAAAGTTGTTTTTAAGCGTATGTTTATCTTGTAGCGCATTAAACGTTATGCAAATGACTGAGCATTTTATTACATACAGAGCGTTCGGAAATCAAATGTCGCACTCCACGTGAGGTGCTAAAAATGTAATTTTGTATTTTTTGCATATCTAAAATGTTCTGATTATCCGATTTTTATCATAAAACAGTGATGGAACCAAATTTATTTTACATTTATTGACGAAAAAATAACTTAAAAGCTCGTACAAACGTTTGCGAAAAGATTACTTATGTTTATTTAAAAAAAAATCTTTCGACTTTAGTCAAACATTTCAAAGAAATTTTATTTTTTGGTTTTTGTCAGAGTATTTTTTTAGAATTGTTCATTATTATTTATTTCTTACTTACATCATAGTTTTATCATAAAAATCGGAAAACCCTAAGAAAATGTTGAAAACAAATAATGGACTACATGGAGTGCGACTTAAAATTTTCGAACACCCTCGACATAAATATATTGCAAACCCCGAGAGCTAAGCGGCCGAAAAACGTGTTTTGACTTTTGAAAATTATTTTTATAAATGTTATAGACTTTCCCAATTTACGCGCAACTATTTATAAAATCGTCCCGACAGACGTTAAATAAAAAGCGATAGTACATTTTACCGTTGTAATGATTATGACAATATTGTGTTTCACGATGTTTGTAAAAATTGTACTTATTACCGACTTACTCTTGGGGATGCAGCTCATTAATAAAACCCTTGCTAATACTACTACTACCACTACCAAACACAATTAACTGATGTATAATGTTATTTCGACCGAAACATTTTGTTATTATTGGGTTATGAACACTGGCTTATTGTGAACACACCAGGCAATAAAAGTATAAACTTAGTTGAACTTGTTTGATGTGAACGCTTTATTTTTTGTAGCTTTAAACTTATATACCTATTATAAGAATAGCCGAACCAAGTTTGATGCATCGTTCAATAACTACGAAACAAGTACAACCTATACAAGACGACCGGTGTTGTGCAATGATACTTTTTAAACTATCCAGATAAAGGTTAATTCGTTAAAATGTTATCTAGACGAGGTGACATGTATTTTTGTTATCTACATACAAAATTAAAAATATCATGATAAAATGCATAATTATTTTTCCCTACGTCATCATCATCGTGAAAACGATGAAGTCATGTTGTGTGGTGTAAAAAAAACTTAAAATATATTTTTATTTACATTAGAAGTGCCCTAAAATGTATTCTATCCAGTGGTCTTTTCTTTAAAAAATACTATGTCAGACATAAACGATACAACAATTAACGATCTTATTGAGCGTTATAAATAGCCAGTTAAAAAGAGCATCGTTTATGATCGTTTAAAATAGCTGTGTTCTAATTAAAATGCTTATAGTTTTAGTCTTGTAAAAAATTCTTTTAAATAGTATTTAAATATTTCTATTAACAATTTATCAATGTAAAATCAAATAATTTTTGAAAGTATTTAAATAGGTCCTTTAAAGGCGTATTTTTACAAGACTGACTTCTTTGGCACTTATATCGAACGTGCTATAAATAGATCAGCTTTTTCGTGCACAATTAAGTGGTTTAATATATAATACGAATTTAAACAAACATGTTAACGAGCTACAAAACGAAACTAGTTCTAGTTTGAAACGATATTTCTATTTTATAATAGGTGTAAGACCACCATGGATCGAGTAAAACGCACTACGCGTAGCTATGTTTACAAAAAAAATAAAAAGGATGCCGTGATAGACAAAAAAAATGAATTTCTACTTCTAATTACTGCAGTCATAAATGCTTGTGATAAGAATTTTGCAAAAAATTTGCCTGTACCGAACTTTTCAATAAGGGGAACGGGAGGAGTGTACGACGTTTTTCAACAAATTGACCGCCACGTATACCGTATTTGTTACTTACATGGATTGTTCTTAGGCCTTAGGTTTTTAAACATGTTATTTTTTTCAGAGGCTTTGAGTAACAATATTGGTAATTATCGAGTACAACTACCAGGCTTCGGATTTTGGTACTCGAAGTTTTCGGTAGCCTACACTATAAAACTGATAAATTTTGACTGACAAAGTTAATAAGCGCCGTTATTGGTGCATATAACCACCGAAACAAAATTAGCTCGGCCGTCAACTTGTTAATAACAACAATACAAAAAAATAAAAAGACATTTACAAGTGGTACATTGGTTTTTTTTTTTTTTTTGTCAAACTCGGGATGTTTACAGCTTAGTTACACATATTTTAAATATTATATGTTTAATACAAAAATTAATTGATAAATTGCGTCGAAAACACAAGGTTGATATCACAGAATTCTTTTTTAAAAAAATCAAAAAAATACATTGGCGTACCCAAGTGACAAAAAATCAATAATGCGCTACGTTTATTTCCGTTCAGATCTCATTTGGTTAGCGGCGGGTCCACTCTGGCCGTTGTTATTGTTTTTTTTCTTCGTGGCCGTGGCCGACGGCGACTGCTTGCGTACACGCATACCGCCCGTCATGCCCGTCCGCCTGACCCGGGTGGCCGCGTTGTTGCCGTTGGCCCCGGGCGGCGGCAGCGGTGCCGGCGGGTTCATGTTGAGCTCGCTCATGTTGACCGCCTCGTTGAACGTCATGATGAAATCGCCGATTTTTTCGATTTCGCCGTTTTTCCCGACGTACAGGGTGAGGCAATTGCGGAAGTAAATGGCGTAGGCCCGGTGGACGCGTATGATGTCGCCGGGAAACAAGTACGAACCGGGCTCGTCCCAAACCGAGAAGTTTATACAAGCACTGTTGTCGGCCACTTTGACAGTCCGAACTTCGTGGTTGTCCTTGAGTGGCACGGCCGCGTTGACCTCTAACACTATGCACATCACGTTTATGTTGTTCATGTTGTTTTGGATGTCTTTAATCTGCGTCAAAGGAATCTCGGGGTTTACGGCTTTCGGTTTGCTCAACCCCATCATTTTCACGCGAAAAAAATACTATATATATATATATACTTAGTCGGTCCGTCGTCGGTTGGGTTTTTTTTTTTTTAATTGTTTAGAATAATATAATTAATTGTTTTTAGGCTATATTGGTAAAATGATAATTTGTTACCTTATATCACTATATGTTTGGGTTCTGAAACAATTAAAAACAAAACAATATCGATTAAAAAAAAAACTGCACTATAAATAATAATAATTACAAAACAACGGCATGGTTAACAGTAAATTATATTATTACAATGATAAATTAAAAAAAAAAACCGTGAAAACACATTTCGAGTCGAACGGAAATGTTAAACAAACATATATTGTATAACTAGAGTTTTTAGTAGTATGAGTTTCGTGATGTGCAGCAAATAAATGAAACTTCAAGTTTTAACTTTTCTCAAAACGACAAATTATAGTTAGTAGTGAAATTGTTTTTCGTTTTATAGTTTGTCAATGTACACAGGGATGGACATGATTTCAATTAGTATAATTGAATTGCATAATTATATTACTTATTATACAAGTAAAACCACAATACCACTTATGTAAAACCTTTCCAAAAAATGGTTTATTTAATCGAAATAATTAGAAGCTTCTGTGCATATTACGACTAATAAAAAAAAATCGAATGTTATTATTTCCCCCCAAATTTTAAGAATAGTGATATCACGTATCAAATTGGTTACATCAATATCACGTATTTATGAGTATTATAGCCATGCTCGAAAATTTGAGAAAATGTAGTTCTGTGTTTTTCACAATTACTCTTTAGTGTGATTTGTACGTTTTTAACAATTTTAAATCTATTGTCTTTGATAGACTAGTCTAATTTTACAACTTCGTTGTTTACAACTTTGGAGACAATTTTAAAATTAACCAAAAAGGATAAAAAATCTCTGAAGCTTGAAAAAGTCAATGTTTGGTGTATAACTGTATTTTCTTAATAATAATATAAATTGAATATAACGGATATTTTGTTAACATTGTGTTTGGAACAAAAATCAAAATAGATTAGACTTTCTTTTATTGCTAAAGTTAATAGTGGTATTGGACTTTTTTCAGAGATTTGAAATAATATAATATCAAAAAATTACTTTTCGTTATACCCTTTGCAATAAATTAAACCGTGACAAATAGTCAATACTAGACAATAAATGATGTGATGATAATTGGTAAACTTATTCAATTTGTACTTAGTTTATCTAAACATTGGTTTAGGTTCTATATGACTTGGTTAAAACACTTTTTTTTTACAAATATTAAATAATATCTTAGTCAGTTTAAGTAACTAAAAATATATAGTTTGAAAAACATTAAAAATGCACAGTTTTGTTTATTATTTATCTTTAAGATCCAACTCGGTGTTGAAAAGTAATATAGCTCTGAACAAGTTTAATCAAATAAATGACCAATCACAATAAAGCCGTTAACTTAAATGTAAAACATAATACTTCATTTTTTTTGCCCCAGAAAGCAGTCATTATTTTACTGTTCAAAATATAACTATTTTTGAAATTAAATTACTAAAATTAAAAATATTAATGATGTCATAACAAATCACAATACAATACACAATAAACCACAATTTACATTCAATTGCTCAAATTAAATTCTTTTGAAGGTACCAAAAAGTCAACAAATAAAATTAAATATCCTTATTATTTCCTTGTCAAATTTGATAGTTTTTTAATATTAACTAAGGCTCTCTACTTCACGTGAATCACGGCTCACGGAACCGTGATTACGTATGTATTACTTCACGTATGAAACCGAGACCCCTAATATTAACTCTTCACTTTATAGTTTAGTATAAAATCCTTAATTGTTATAAGCTTGGCTTATGGTGAGAAAAAAAGGTGTCATTCAGAGTATTTACTGAGTCCATTAATATTATCACACAATTGCTTCTACGAGAATAACAAATTATTTTTATTTTAGGTCATTACCATAACTTAAGTTTATTATATAATGTTAAGCGATTAAATGGTAACTCCAGATTACAGTACATATAATAGGTTTGTGTTAAATTATTTGAATAAAATCTTTATTTTTTTGAGTCAAATCTTAGCAGTTTAAAGGACCATAGTTAGACTTACACTGTATAACAGAGAGTAAAATTAAAAAATTAGCTGAACAAACATAAATATTTCAAAGTTAAATATAATTAATAATTTTATTTATAAGAGAACATCAAATTATAAAATTATTATGATTACCATTTAAACCAAACGATAGAGTTACAGGTAGGTGGCGAAATTTAGCCAATAAATTAAATTGAATCTAATAGAATATAATATTGACTAGGTATTTTCTTTGGTGTTGGCGGTCAACAAATGTTGGCTTTTTTAACCCTTCTGTTAGTCACCCAATTTTCAGTGACCCTTAAATAAAGTGTTACTGGCATACATTTCTTACTGGAGTCACAGCGGGACTAAGCGTGATTAGGATACATTCTTACCCTGCATGACTAACGGAGAGTTAAACAGCTTAACTATTTTTGTTGAAATAATAAATGAGAGATAGTAATTAATACAAATATGTTAGTATAAGTCAAATTCATTAAAAAACCATCGCATGATGGCAGCGTTGGGCCTTCAAGACCCGTTAAGCTCCATGATAATATGTAAAAATTTTACCCATTTCCAGGCAATTTAATCATACCTGCTTGTAATCGCTTACACAGTTTTAGTTTATATTTTATAGCTTCAAATTTAACTCTATCTTTTGATTTCTAATTACTACTTATTCAGACATTAAGTCATTATTATTGAGTTTTAGTTAAATTATTAAAATTTATAATTTGCTTACTCTTACTCTTTGCTTTAATTTTTTAAGAACTATGGTTTTAAATGAATAATAATAATCATCTTGTAATTTAAAACATACTGTTATTTTTTTTTTTTTGAGACTTATCGTCTTGCAATCAATTGTGCTGCTCCCAATTGATGAGACACTACATTTTACTTTGATTAAGATTAAGAAAAAATTGATCTTTAAGATTATTTTGTTTTTATATTTTATTAGGTTTTATTTAAGTGTACTGCTTTTATTATAGGCATTACCGAGAGTTCTTCAACTTTTTAAATGAAAAAAATGTAATAATAATACTACTCGAAGCCAAATACCAGTAAAATCTAATTTAATAGTCAAAGTAAAATTCAATTGTTTCAAATTTACACATAAATAGTTATAAAATTATACTAAAACAATTAATTTCACTATTAAATTTAATTTTGTACCATAACAAATTTTTTCTAATCATTTGTTCACCTAATTTGTTAGAATTTTACCCACGTTGCTTGTAGCGAATGAGCTAAGTTTTACATTGTTATTATTATAAAAATGTATATTATTCACTTACCAACCAATGCAATTTTTGCTGCGATGGTAGTTGTTCGCTATTATCATTATCCAGCAATCTGAGAGTGGTGAACCCCTTTCATATTCTCTAACAGTCGTACAATATTTTATAAACTGTCACTTGTGAGAAACGATTTTATAAACTCTTGTGAAAAGGGCCGTAATAGAAAATAGTGAAACCGAAAACCAAACTCCAACCTCATTATTTGGTGCCGAGTTAAACAACAAGTTAATAATGATACTATAGTATCAAGGTGGATTGAATAATACATTATATTATCAATCAATGCATGTTGATAAGAGCTCGGTGTTGATAAGAAACAGTGTGGTAGGACGGCCAGTGCAAAAATATCTGCCTCGCGACGGGCCAGTTGGTGATAACAGCTATTAGAACGTGTCTGGCCGTCCGACTTTTGACTCGTATTAAATAATATTTAAATTGTGAGTAATAAATAACAGTAATAAGAAGTATATTGGACGATTATATCATAACAATAAAAGTCTCGTTTTAGTTTTTACCATTGTCGACCGTAGTAGACTTTGCCTTTTTATTGTGAATTTACTTCTGGTGAAAATATCTGTTATAAGTCGCCTAGAAAATCGAATTTTTGTACTTAACAAATAAACCGAACGTTTCTATATTTTGTTTTACAAATTATCCAACACTCAGGTACAGTTATGAACGTTATACAATGTAGTCAACACCATTATTACATTAACACTTTTGATTTGTTGCATCATTGGATGTAATCAAATGTAATCTCATATCGATAAAATGCTGGCTTTTGTAGGTTCAATGCGTCTTTTACAAATGGTCCCAATATTGCCGCTGGACATATCCGTTCCACAGTATGCTTTACGTAGAAGGGGAGCCATATGTGTGACTGTCATTAGACGCAATTCGTTTGAGGTGAGAGCCTATATTAAACAATTAGTTAAATTTGGTAATTTGTTACATAAAGTGTGCATGTTATTTACATAGCCGAATAGAACATAATTTTATTTTTTGTATATTAAGAACAAAGTTGATTGACATTAGGACAATTTGTTCTGGCCACTTGTGCAATTGTGCACCGAAAAAAATGACTTATCACATTGTTAATAACTTTAGTTAAAATGTAAATATAGTATTTTTTTAAAAATATTCTAACAAATGTGTTCCTACGGTATTTACCTTTGTAATGTGGAACAGTACCTATATATAACCCGTAACCTGTTTAGGTTAAACACCTAATCAACGAATATATTTTATCATATATTAACTATAACTATTAGTTAAATGTACTATAATCAGTTTTAATTAGGTTTTATTATAACCGTGAGTGTATAAAAAATAAAATAATAATTTAACTAAGAATAATTTATGTGTATGTTATTCTACAATTATGTACATTCAAAATACACAAAATCTCTAATTTATTCGAACATAAACATTTAATTTGTTCATATTTTTATGATGAGCAAAGATAGACAGTAATTTTGATTTATGTATGTATTTGATACAGGTTCTCTAGGATACCAATATTATCGAGGACTTTTTTAAAACTATAACAAGGTAACGAGGTACGATTTAAATACCTTAACAGAATTACACAATTTGTATAATATTATGTAGTTTTATTTCTTTAATCATAACAAATAATTTGTTCAATACATATATATAATTTTTTTTTAAACAGAACCTGTTGTGATATTATAATTATGTGAACATTCATTAAATCCTTTCCTATAAATAAATTCATTAAAGCTACCGCGTTTATTGTTCTAATATATTAATAATTAATTATATGTAGTATGAACAATTGTCATTTAGTTGTTGTAGTAGTATGTTATATAAACAGGCATGATCACTAGATAGTTCACGAGAATAGTGCCACAGACTTAAAAAAAAGTAGTGGTACCGTGCTAATTCCTCATTAAAGCATCTTTCGTGACTGGGCTAAATGTGCAAATTGGTAAAGATAGGAAAAGTTGGTAATCTAGCAATCATCCCTGTTTATTAAGTCATGATGGCATAACATACATTAATTATTTCACGGATTTTTAAATAAAAATAATAAAAAATATTTTATTGAAGGTAAACCTTAATATTTGATGGTGGGGGATGAAGGGGGGCACATTTATTTATATATTTTTTGGTTTTGTATTGCAGGTTTTCTGTTGTCAAGTTTTTTACCAAAAAAAAAAACACCATTAAAACGCCGAGTAGTTTCGCTTTAATGAAATTTAATCAATGACAACATAATATGGTCATTGTAAAATTGTTCGCCCTATCTTAATTTGCTCCGTCGTTTGTTAACCGGATAACTTTTGAGTAACTAAAACAATAATAATTTGTATTACTTAAAGGAACAATATCGATTTTGGCGTCGGTAAAAAATATTTAACATAATTTATTGTGCCCTAAATCGGAAGTCCTAAACGCAGCGATTGCTCGCGTTAGTTATAAACTTGAAAGTAAGTATTGAATGATTAGTTGTAGTGTTTCCTCGCTTAGCTGACAACGACCGCAAACGGTTTGCAACTTTTTTAATTTTCCCCCTGACGCAAATTTACGTTAAATCGGGTTTTTCACGTGTTAGAAACTTTTAGAGGGTACCTACCAACAACTTTTGTGTTTAATTGTTTTTTCTATGTAAAACCCGGTTTGGAAAACAAAATCGGCGTGAAAAAATATTAAATGTATTCAGTGAGAATTCCAAAAATCTTCACAGTATGTATATATATATATATATATAAACTTCGATCATTTTTTGTTGAAAAATATTATTATTATTTACCAAACATTAAAAATTATTTGACAAAAAAAAAATTATACTTTAATATTTGATTAAGTAAATATTGTTGATATTGTTACCAATAAGCAATATTATCATTACCAGCAATATTAAATATTATGAAAATATTTTCCTGATAAGTTGACTGTTGATTCATTCACACATAGCAAGATCAAAGTGTATTGATATGATGGATAATATTATGTCTTTTGGCTAGGGGTCAATTAGAATTTCTGGTAAGCGGTCATAGGTTCCCAAGCCATCTAGCCATCGTGTGGCGCAGTCTAGCGGTGGTTTTTTTGAATGAAAGAACTGATAAATATTTATCTGATAAGACATGAGAGATAAAAGATAAGATATTAGTGATAATATATTAAAGATAAGAGATAAAATACTAGGGATAAGAGATTAGGTACTCCTAATTACGTACTCCAAATTAGGTACTATAAGTACGCTTATTTTGTAAATGAAACAGCCGATAAATAATTTTATTATACTGGCCAATTAGTTTTGTTATTATTATTATATTTATAGACATATCATGTTCCTATGTAATGGCTTGTAGAGTGGATACTTTAATTTTTTTTCTTTATTTTGGTGTTTTCTTATTTACTCAAGCATGACAGTTATTTTTCATATTAGTCGTTTGCGTATGAGGATAGCCGGAGCGGTTATATTGATTTGGTAAGTTTGAAGGTGTGTATCGCGAAGCCCGCTATTTTTTTGTGCCTCTGGACCGTACCTTTTGGCGGATAACGATTATTTTTTAGTGCATATTTATGTTTTCGGGAGAGTAAAAAAAAGTAAACCCTTATACTTTATATTCGTCATGAAAGCTGGAAAAATGTTCGGCCGACCAGCGTTTTTTACCTTTTTCAGCTGTCCGGACGGGTTGTTGAAATTTCGTTTTCCTAAACCTTAGTTCGGTCCTTTGGGGCGTCCCTCGGTTCTTTTGTAAGGTTTGTGAGTTGTGCAATGTTTTCTTAAGCCGAGTGTACCTAAAGAAAACTAAACATATGTGTATAAAAAAATCGAATCCGTTGAGACGGGCATAGGGGTCTTGGTGTTGTTGAGCCACGTTGAATATTTAAAATCGTCTACATTGTCTAATCGTTTGTCTTTTACAAACTTTTGTCTGTCTCTTAAAGAGGTATTTTTATTATTAGTCTTTGTTAACATGACAGTTGATTGTTCTGAGGAAGAGCGTTTTTATCAATTTGCAGGATTACTATAGTAACATTTATCGAAATTAGGTGTTTCTAGCTTCGGGTAAGCAGGATTAGTGTCACGAGGAATATAAAAACTAAATAATTACGCGAATATGTAAAATTTATCGTAGGCAATTTTTGGGTATCACAGAATTAACCATCCGATATTTTAATTTTGTCACACGAACATTAAAACCAGTGACAGATAAAATGTGTAGTTATTTTCAGGTGGTGTAATCCAAGGAACTAAAACTATATTAATGAGGTTTTTTTGTTAGAAAATTGTAAGATTTTTTGGGATTTCCGTGTTATTAATAATGGAAGTAGATGAGCGTAATTCTAGATGTACAACAACTCTAAACGGTTTTATCCAAGGCTAATTGGCGTGTATGATATTACACTTTATTTTTAAGGAACGTGCTACTTATTAACTAAATTTGTTTTGCAATAAAACTGTTATTCTTAGAGGCCGAAAAGTTATGGGTTCTCTTCCTTTTAATTCCATACATTGATCTTTACCTATAGTTTTTTTTTGTCAAATTGATCATAATTTTAGATCTATAAAAAAAACTGTATAGTTTTGAAAGTTAGTACTTATAATACATTATTTTATTAATTTATGAGAATGTTTTTTTTCCATAGATGATAGATCCATTCTAACGAAGAACAATGGAAAAAACATAGAGTAGACAAAAAGAAGCAACTAAAGTCTTCCGCTAATCCTTTAATTTGTATATATATATATACATCTCACTCCCAATTAAAAAGTAACAAAACTCACAAACCATTATATTCGTGTTTATGGTGACATCCGTATTCAATAAATATCATATTTTTATTGTGTAAAATCGTTAAAAGTCTATCCCAATTATTAACTTCAACAATGAGATTGGTAACAAAAAAGTTTGGAAAATTCTGCAAATGTTCAAATGAGTTTTTTGAGTTGTTTCACTTTTTAACTAGAGATGCGACATCAAAACGTTTTTAATTTTATTTTTTTTAGCGAAATGGATTATTTTACTTATTTTGTTATCTTGAACTTTTATATTATATGGAAAAGAAGTAATATCATAATGGTTATTGAATTTGTGAATTGTAGTTGTAGTTAACTGACTTTCAAGGAGAAAATTATTCTTTTATTATTTATTTTTATAGATATATTTTGTAATTATTGGTCTTTTCTTGTTTACAAATGGACTCGCTCCATAACCAATTATGGCATCGTTAATAATGCTGTTAAGCCGCTAAAAACAATACCTGC